AAAAAAAAAAAAAAAAAAAAAAAAAAAAAAAAAAAAAAAAAAAAAAAAAAAAAAAAAAAAAAAAAAAAAAAAAAAAAAAAAAAAAAAAAAAAAGGTGAATCACAACTTAGAAAATGACAGTCCAGGAGGAAGGAAATAATGAGGCAAAGGAGGGTGGGGGTGGAAAAGAAGGCTTGGTGAGGAGAAAAAATAAAATGAAGGAAAAGAAAAGGAAAAGTTTTGGAGGAAAAAGCAACGTAGGAGGAGACAATACCATTCACTGCAGGTTCTGTGGCGATCGGAAATGGGCTTGTTATTATTGCTAGGATCGAATGGCGTCGTGATTGATAAGTACTCGACATAATAATCCATCTTCACCTTCCTCCTTGGGTAAGATACACTTCCTTCGCAGGATTGTGAAGGAAGGCAGGTCAGATGGCCGAGGGTGCCGTGTTCGCAAGCTTCTCTCCCCCTTGGTTCGAATTCCAACATTCGAGAATTCACACCGAAGCCACCTTATTCCCCCCAATCCATCCTTTTCCGACGCCTTGCCTCAAAATTCTTTCCTGGAGCATGGTCTAAATTGATAACCGTCAATAGCACGCAACCAGGAACCACTCCTCTGGGAAAAGCCCCCCTCTCCTCTCCTCCGACTAAAACATGGGCTAACGCACGAACTAATGCAGCTTCTCTCACACTTCGTCCCCGTTTCCACTTCCGCCTGCGTCCCCGTGGTCTTCCCCGGCCTAGTGCCTTCTAGTAGCACAAAGCGGTGCCGGGTTGGGCGATGATCTAGCCTAGGGCAGGAATTAAAACAACAAACAGAAGGAAAATGACAATCAACAGTCGCCGGGATTCAACTTCCGTGGCAGAGGTGACTACTACTTAGCAACCAATTGAATCCCTTATGGATAGCATTATGCAGTTCATTTCCAGGGGAAACAATGAACGAAAAGACACACGAATGAGAAGCGGAGAATGATTCCGATCCCGACCGCTGGCCTGACTGGCATCTGTTACCTATCAGTCTCATCATCCCATGCCTGGTCCCGTCAAGCCGCCACGATGGATGAATCAAATGAGGACGGAACACCTCGACTCCACTTCCCGCACATATTAATCAGGTAACAGAGAAGAGCTAGATAGCAGGTAGCTGCTAGTGCTACCGCCAACCTTCCACTAAATCGCACGTAGTTTCGCACGAATTGGCTCACCATCTGAAGACCGAGTTGGCGTGACCCGCAGTTGGCTAGAAGAGGCTTCCAGAACCGATGTGCCGCCCGCATAACCAAAAAAAATTTACACTATACCGACACGGTGGACATCACCCTTACTCCGCGGCAACACCATCCTCCGCCGTCTTTTCCATGACCAAATGATGGGCAGTAGTTATGATTTGTTCGATAACTATGAGGGAGATACGAATGCAATCGAGTCAATCTTGTTTGCCGTGGCTAGCGAGGTTACCGCCTGTCCGTGGGGTTTCAGAGCGAACCATCCACATCCAGCCTGTGAAATGAAATACTCCAGTAACTAGCGGAGGCATTTAATACTCCGTAGCAGGGGGGAATCCCCAATTCAGCTGGGTGCGCCAGCTAGACGAAGCAACAGTCCCTTTGAGGTAGCACAGAGGGGGGCCCCGCCCACTAAGGATGAAGGAAGGGCCACCAATTTTCCTGCTACTGGCCAATGGCGGCCTTTGGATCGGCTAGATCGCAGCGAATTTTCCCAAGCTCACTGCATGTAATTCGCTACTCTCTGCAGAAGCATGGAGCTCACCGATCCTTACCGACATATGTACTTGACAGATCTACAGGACTCTCTTTTGCTACTTTACTCTATTTTTTGCTCCTTTGCCTTATCCCAGTGGTCATTATTTTCTAAATTTCTTATCTTCTGCCTGATTTTCTCTTGCGGTCCCACTTCTCAATTTCCAAAAGTACAAGCATCGTGTCTCAATCTCATGCATGCAGCACAGAGATCAGGAGATCCATCCCAACCAGCATTCTTCAAGCCCCAAAGCATAGGAGATACTGCCACAGATAGTACGATGATCGTGAAATGGTCGAAATGGAAAGAGAAGCAAGTGGGAACCACCTGACATTCACGGATCGCGGCAATCCGGACTAGCTCGGCCACCAATGTTTTCTGAACTTAGTGGCCTGGTCCCCAAAGTGCAAGCTTCAGAGACTCCGTTATATTCCACCAATCCAGCCCAGACGCCCTTCTATAATAGTAGTCGGCTTCCGCCTGCAGCACCCAAGAGTTCATGCTGGGTTACCCTAGCATTTGGAGCTTCACGGCTGGAATCCAGAGGATATTACCTGCACTCGTTGCATAGGTTTGGGCTGTGTTGCAGCCTGCAAGTGGATGTCTCCTACCCGGTGACTTCTAACATCAGACACAGTCCGAGATCTCTCCTCGAGACCAGGAGAAGCTGACCAACAAGGCAGTCGTAATGCTAACACTTTTTCTATGAGTATGATGCCGATAGACTAAGGTAGGTGAGATACATTTATGTCTCAACGAAGCTTGCGGGATATATGGTAAGTCCTATCTATTGCACTTTGCCTCTGAAGTGTTTACGGAGCGATTGATGCCCGATGACGTAGCTGAAACACCACTGTTTCCCTTTGGCTTTTGGGCCGACCTCGCTGGACACCAAAGTCCGAATGAAAACACAAAGCATCCTTCGTGGACCACTCAGATGGCAGTAAGATGATGACGAGCCAGTCTTTCCGATGATCTGTCTGCTTTGTTGCCTGCGTGCAACGAATGGAGATCCTGACAGCCCACAGACCCAGTTTTTAGAGACTCTGCTAAGCCACCAGAAAGGAATCCGTTGAATTGGGACAAAGGAGGTCACCAAACAAGTCCATTAAGTCTCCCAGTAGTAAGGAAATGTCGACCTCGAGGTAAGGGGGAAACGGAGACAGAACCGCCGAGGTGTGTACTGAAGGATGGCAATCTGAGAATTGGAAAGGTGAGAAGCAACGGTGATCAGCAGCTGACATGAGAACGACGACGGTCACCCGTCTGTCATCCACATTTTGGGGGGGGGGAAGGAAGGCAAAAGCATGTTGCCCGCATGCATGCAAGACATCGTGATTTGGGCGTCCTGAGTGGGAGAAGCGAGGCCATCCGCCCCATCTGCCGATGCGAACTAGACGAGGGCCTTGTTTTAGCTTCTTAGGAGGAATTGGCACGGCAGCTACTCTGGGGCTAAGGCATCTAGTCTTAGGTAGATGGGCAGGAAGACCCGTCCGGATAAGCGTCGCCTGGAGGGTGAACGAGGGTCTAAAACAGCCGGCAACACAAAGCCACGACATGGTTTCATTCAGAGTTGAGGCTAGCCAGATGTTTAGCTACTTGCTTTTCCCTTTTCATGATTTTAGTTCTGGTGTTTTGTTTTTTTTCGGTTTTTCACCAATTTTCCCTTTTCTTCTTCCCTCGAAAATATTCCTTTTTCTTTCTCGCTACTTTCGGTCAAGACTCCGTCCGTTCTCACTTTCATTTCACCTTGGGGGTGGATGTATTCCCTAACTGGTACAAGTCCATTTGCTCGACCCAGCCATGTCACTCGTGCAACAAACTATCTCGTAAACGATGATCATCTAACTTAGCTAACATGATATAGTTGAGGCTGTTGGGGGCCGCGAGCGACATCTGAAGTCTAACAGTATTGAGATGTGGGCTGGCAAGTGAAATCCGTGGAGACGAATTGCGAAGCGCCAGAACCTTGACCAGTATTAGTTTGAGATCGTGATAAGGCAGGATTGAAGGCGAAACCCTTCCGAAAAAGACCGGTGACTTAGTCATAGCTATTAGAATGGCCTGATTTTACGCTTAGAGGCTCTGTATAAGCTACTACTGTCTAGCAGATAGTAGCTATGGAGTCGGTGGTTGAATATGCTCTGATAGTGAGGAATGGCACATCAAGGCGGTAAGTGCACTCGGGAAGTGTGTATGATTTTAGTATGGTGTAAGTAACGGGAAAAGATACCTTGAGTATACCTCACGGGTACCGTAAGGAACCCGACACGGCTTGATATCCGGCTGAATCGGTCAGTATCGGTAAAGTACCAAGCAGGTATTCCAGGGCCTCCACTGATCCATAGTGCTGGCGCGCCCAGTTAAGCGCTCCGGTTCACCTGCACCTTTTCCCCAGCCCCAAGGCCGGTGTTAGTTGCCTCTAGTGACCTCACTAGCTCGTTGTTAGCGGATTACATTTGTTGGCCAGGTAGTTAGTAGTTTTACTGACATACCTGGGATTTTGTCTGTCTGTCTGTCTCTCTGTCTGTCTGTCTGCCTGCCTGCCTGCCTAGTAATTAATGCACGCTTCGCTCGGCCAGCTGGGGCTGTGAAAGGATCCCGTGGGATCCCTATCCACTGCCCAGAAAACTAATAGCTCAATCCCGAGGGCGCTCGTAGTTTTCCTGCTTCGGCAGGTAAAGGAAAGTTCCAAGATGGCCAACTCACTTGGGATGTGGGTGAGTGTGTGAATGGTTTGTCTACAAGTAGTCTACTAGGTATGGAGTCCCTTCCCTATAGCACCCCCCAATTTTTTGATAGTGCAGTAAGCTAAGTTATACTTTGCGAGAGATTATTTTCCCAATTTAATCGTACCCACGTTCGTCAGCGGTTATTCTGGACAAGATGATGGATGAAGATGATGATCCACTACTATTTACTGAATAGAGACCCTTTCCTCTTCGTGACTAGTTAACTCCTACCCAACAACTATATTGGGAACAGTTTCCCAGCCCAGCCCCAGTGCAGTGAGATTCCGTCACCCCCGAGCTCATTCATGGCGTTGACTTGCCTCCACTAGCCCCTCTACCTCTCTTTCTCTGTCTCTTTTCTTACTTAACTTGGTACTTTTGGCCACCGGGTACCATCATTCAGGTCTACCTAATCTAAGTATGCATCTGCATGTATGTCCGTATCACCCTGCCAAGTACGAGTCAGGTCCGAGGTCGAACTTATCAAGTACGTATTTTTGGGTACTAGGTCGGTAGTAAGTAGATTAGGTGTCTCGATGTGGGCGCGATAGATCAATAATAATACAAACAATAAAATATAATATAATAATAATAACAATAACTATATATTCATGAGAATGGGCTACAGGTAGGCCTTTTCTGCCAAGCAGGCATGGGTTAAGCCAGGCTGTCCGGGGGGGGAGGAAGGGAAGGGAAACTGAGTCTCCACGTAAGTATGACTGAGATGTATGTCGAATGTAAGTACCTCTGACCGGAAGGAGGTTATGGCGAGGTACTTGGTATGTATGTAAGCTGTATGTCGTATGTATGTAAGAAAGCAACACCCATGTCGGTATGGATACCTGCCACTGGGGTGACCTCGAAACTCTTTTCCTACTTTAGTTACACTTTGCCATCTTGCTTGCGTTCTTCCCCAAGCATGCCGGTCGTGCTGTGCTCTCTTGATTCTTGATTCTTGTTCCTTTCATTTGGAGTTCTTGAGTAGTCCTCCATTTTTGGTTTTTCACCTTTTTTTTTCCCTCTCTCTTTTACTCTCACTGTTGTGACATGCGCGATCCGCCCAATGCAAGTCGGCTTCGGGTCCTTGTCTTAGTTGTCTCCTCTTCCCACGTCTCTGGGTTCACTCATGGGGTCCCACCCACTCTTGTTTTTCGCGCCCCCGCCCTCTCATCCCAGCAATCAGTGCTCTCTTTTCTATTTTATTTTTTTATTTTTTTTTTTTTTTCTTCTCCTCTCTTTGCTTTTTGATCGATTAGAATTTATTTTTTCCTTTTTTTCTTTTCTTATTTTTCAATTTTTTTTTATTATTCTGATTTCCGATTAATCCATCTTTATTTTATTTTATTTTCACTGTCGATTTTGTTTCACACCGCCGAATGATGCTGTCAACAACGTTCGACCTACTTTACGATCGTCTCTGCTCCTATAGGAAAGCTGGCCGCGAGCAATAATAATTAATCATGCCTAGAGGAAATAATCAGAATAACTAATCCTCATCATAAATCATCATCATTCCTGGACAGTCTGGCTTGAGACTTCTTCCTTTCTTGTCGTTTCTTCCAACTGTCACTTCCCTGTCCCTTCTGACCCTCCATCCTATCCATCTTCCTCTTCATCTTTTCTTCCTCTTTGCTCTCCCATATTCCGTATTATTCATTCATCGTCATAGATAATCTGTATTTCTTTCATCATCTGCTGCCCTTCATCTCCATCTAAAGAAAATATCCATCCTTCTTGTCAGTGCGATCTGCACGGTTGCCAATTTGCCATACTACCTACGACTACTACATCCGGTATACTGCTGGTCACTATCGTGTAGTACTTACTTCTTTCTCTGTCTTTTCTGCAACCAACAAAATCCTCCAAGTCGGGAACAAGCAGCACCACGGGTGTATGTTATCGAGGTTTCACTTCTTCCCTTGAAGCAAACCGGGTTTCTCCCACCTGGTCCTCTTTCTCCCTTTATTTTTTTTTTTTTTTTATCTTCAAGTGGTTCCGTGATTTTCCTTTCACCGTGGCTACCCTCGGGATCAGTGTGTTGGCGAGTCTTCCATACTCCCACCCGGTTCATTCCTCGCAACAATATCATTCGCTGCCAGGCTACCATCTTGCCCAACCCGCCGGCTCCCTCTCTCAGGCAGCTCTTCACGAGTCTCCAGCTCATCTGGAGAGAGAGGGGGCCCAGCAATGCCCTAGGTCGCTCCACCGATCTATCGAAAGAGAATCGGAGCATATGTCGTCCACCTTGACTGGCCCTTCCCCAGACGATGCACATCCGGCCGAGGATCACGGTACGTTTGGTAGAAAGCGGCCTCGCTCACACGATGACTCTGCATCTTCCGATGGACCGGACCCTGTGCGTCACCGGCCTCTTTCCTGGCAACCATCAGCTCCTGTGGAACCTTCTGTGAAATCTACTCAGCTTCGTTCCATCGGCGTTGAGTCGATCTTAAACCCACCGTCAAAAGCAGCAGTCGTTGCAGCAGAACCCGGTCGCGAAGGATTGGGGTCCCAGGTGCCGACTACTTCATCGTCACCATCCCATGCACGACTGCCCTCCTCCCCATCAGTCCATCTTCCCTCTCCCTCTGTTCACCCAGCAAAACGTCTCTCTGCATCTCCCGCTATGAAACACCATCAGGCTATTGCCCCTGCTTCTCCTTCTGCGCGTTTTGTTCCAACGGGAGGCGGCTACGCCCAGAGACTGGGTGTTTCACAGTCTCCTCTGGCTCACCCATCTCGTCTAGCCTCTTATTCAGCAGCTCCAGGCTCTCCCCTATCCGTTGATCCATTCCCTGGGCAGTCAGTATCGACATCCACGCATCCTGCCCCGGCTCCAGTCTCCATGCATTCGACTCCAACTTTCCACAGCCGTCGGACAAGCGCCAACCCCACACCTGCTCCCAGCTCTCAGGAAACAAGCCCTACAACCCCCGTCTCTGCTTACAGTCAGCTCGGGCGGTCATCTCCAGCAGTATCTGCTGCGCCAATGCAGCAAACTACACCCTCTTTCCTCAATGCAACCGCGTACGGATCCAGTGAGCCCGCCACTCGCTTGCCTTCAGTAATGGCGGGACCAAGATCTACGGGTGAAGATGCGGCTACTGCGGGAGCCCCGCCAGAGAATCCTCCTTATCCTGGCATGATTCCTTGCATTCTAGACCTGAAATCAGGGTCTTCTAGTCAGGCAGAGAAACGGAAGGCGAACAGCGATGCATCGAGGAGGTTCCGGAATCGGAAGAGAAACGAAATGCAGCTGGAGCAAAAGATTGCTGGGCAACTGGAAGAGATCCAGAAGAAAACTGAAGAATTGAAAAGGCGGGACGATCAAATCCGATCTCTGATGCAGGAACGAGATTTCTATCGCTCTGAGAGGGATTTCTTCCGTGAACACGTCTCCCGCTTAGTGCCTACAGGTCAGCTTCCGGCCAGGCCAGCATCCCCACTTACCCTACGACCGCCCTTCGAGTCCACCGCCTCTGAGCGCGAGGCCACATGGCATGCCTCCGAGGCCAGAAAAATGGTCGAGAACACTTCTGGAAGTGGAAAGCTGGCCCCAGCGCCATCTCACCTGATGGCCGGTTCGTCAACCAGGCCGCCCGTGACGTGGTCGACCGCTCCGACTTCGTATCCGGCAGCCCACGTTGAGCGAAGTATGCTGCCCGACGAACAGCAAGCAAGATCATTGCCTCAGTTCCCTGGACAATGGGCGCGAAACTCCTAAATGAGATGAATAGCAAACGTGAACATCGGGCGCCTAATCTGGCTTTGAAATCTCGGGTATCAGATTCCTCTATGGTACTTCTAGCGGCTCGCAGGGAGGGCTACTAATGCCAGCGGGACACGCTTTCTCGAGATATCGTCATTTCTCATTTTTCCCTTCTTGTCATGTAATCGACCTTTGTGTGCCCTTGCACATCGGGGACTGAGAGCCATAAAAGTTCCTATTAGGTTTGTTTTCTTTATCCTCCGGAGGCTAAGTCATCTTAAGCAATGGGGAAAAGCCCTCTGCACACAGTTTGTGTGATCAGCATATGAAATAGGTGTATGGACGGGTGGTATTTTGAAAGGTGTGGCTTTGTCCTTTCCTCTTGTTTGTCTTTCCATGATCGGGTATTCTCATGCAACCTGTCTACCTTATACATTTATCGTACACATTTACTCAATTATGTCTCTCTTGATTTTTTATTCATTGTTTATCCAGACGTTGGGTGGCGTTGGGTTTCTCTGCTTCGCTTTACCATGAGTTAAACGGCCTGCACGGTGGACTTTTGAAGATACTCCTTGCTGCATGCAGCATTGTCAGCAAATGCATTGCTTTGAATGATTTTGTGTTCTCGCGTTGGACCATAGACGCTGCCATTATCTGACTTTTAATGAGCGAGGGCGAAGTTCATCATTCAACGTTCTGTTCTTTGTGGATTTATCCACGTCCTTTCGGACTTTTTGATGCAGCGTTATAGACTGTATAGCATATTCAGGGATTAATTGACGACGCATGCACTCGAGAATCTTCAGCCATGGAAAGCGTTCTGTAGATCTTTGGTAAGAGAATCGATGGCAGCCTAGGGCATCCAGGCACCTTTTCCCAAAGGGGAACGTCCACCCGTCCACGTGCCCGGTTCAGCCAATCAGGGCATCCCACGGCATGTGTTGGATCAGTGATCAGCTCGAATGCAATATAATGAAGATGCAACCAACACCATCTGCTGGGCTTCTCTCGAGAAAGCTCCTCCACTTCTCACACTAGATATATCCGGCCCGCGTCGACTTCCCGTCCCATTCGGCCTCGTCCGTTGAAGATCCTCATCCCACTGCTGCACGTGGGCCACCATTGTGAACTTCTAACCTGAACTGGTAGAGTATCACACACCATGCCGAGCGGGGATGAAGGGGTTATATGAGGACCGGCTGGTCCGGTGCAATGGCCATCGCCATCAATTGCTGCTGTGCAAGAAATTTCTCCTCATAGGTATCATGGGTGTCTCTGCCGTTCTACTTCCTTTGTACCTCCTGTCCGGGTATGCTAATCATCCCTATCGGAGCCTGATATGGACCCTCCCTTTCCGAAGACCCCCTGAAGCTTGGACTGTGTGGGACTATTGATCTGATCGCTGACAATCTGAGCACAGAGTCACCTCCGGACTGGCAGTCCCCGCCTCGAGAAATCAATCCACTTGCGATACGGTCGATCAGGGGTATCAATGCTTCTCGGAGACTTCGCATCTTTGGGGCCAATACGCGCCGTTCTTCTCTCTGGCAAACAAATCGGCCATCTCCCCTGATGTTCCCGCCGGATGCCATGTCACTTTCGCCCAGGTTCTCTCCCGCCATGGAGCGCGGTATCCGACCGACTCCAAGGGCAAGAAATACTCCGCTCTCATCGAGGAGATCCAGCAGAACGCGACAACCTTCGAGGGGAAATATGCCTTTCTGAAGACATACAACTACAGTCTGGGCGCGGATGACCTGACTCCCTTCGGAGAGCAGGAGCTGGTCAACTCCGGCGTCAAATTCTACCAGCGATACGAATCGCTCACAAGAAACATTGTCCCGTTCATCCGATCCTCAGGCTCCAGCCGCGTGATTGCCTCTGGCAATAAATTCATCGAGGGCTTCCAGAGCACTAAGCTGAAGGATCCTCGTGCCCACCCCGGCCAATCGTCGCCCAAGATCGACGTGGTCATTTCAGAGGCCAGCACATCCAACAACACTCTCGATCCGGGCACCTGCACCGTTTTCGAAGATAGCGAATTGGCCGATGACATCGAAGCCAATTTCACCGCCACGTTCGTCCCCTCCATTCGTCAACGTCTGGAGAACGACCTGTCTGGCGTGACTCTCACGGACACAGAAGTGACCTACCTCATGGACATGTGCTCCTTCGACACCATCTCCACCAGCACCGTCGACACCAAGCTGTCCCCCTTCTGTGACCTGTTCACCCATGAAGAATGGATCAACTACGACTACCTCCAGTCGCTGAACAAATACTACGGCCATGGCGCAGGTAACCCGCTCGGCCCGACCCAGGGCGTCGGCTACGCTAACGAGCTCATCGCCCGTCTCACCCACTCGCCTGTCCACGATGACACCAGCTCCAACCACACATTGGACTCCAACCCGGCTACTTTCCCGCTCAACTCCACTCTCTATGCGGACTTTTCGCATGATAACGGCATCATATCTATCCTCTTTGCTTTGGGTCTGTACAACGGCACCAAGCCGCTGTCTTCCACGACCGCGGAGAATATCACCCAGACCGATGGGTTCTCATCTGCCTGGACGGTTCCTTTCGCGTCGCGCATGTACGTCGAGATGATGCAATGCCAGTCTGAGCAGGAGCCTTTGGTCCGTGTCTTGGTTAATGATCGCGTTGTTCCGCTGCATGGCTGTCCGGTTGATGCTTTGGGGAGATGTACGCGGGATAGCTTCGTGAAGGGTTTGAGCTTTGCCAGATCTGGCGGTGATTGGGGGGAGTGTTTCGCTTAGTGCATGAATCTCACGCAGTTGGAATGTCACATATGAGATTACCCATCAATTACTTCGTGTATGCATATATCGAGAATTTTGATGATGACTAGTACCCTCAACCATACAATTAAACCTACTACAATCAAACCCAATTCCCCTCTATCCCTCATTCCACAACTGAGTATCACCCATATTAACTATCCACACTCAACGCATAGCATTATACCCCCATGACAATATCAAAAACAAACAATATTATACAAACCCCACCAATGCAATAACAACCGCAGTCTCCATACCTCATATAAATACAATATCCAATACACTCAACCCATCCCACTACTCACCCCTACTACTTACTTCTCCCCCTCCCCCTCCACCTTCCCAGAACCCGAAGTCAAAGTCGAAGGAGTAGCCGAAGCAGAAGACGACCTCTCCACCAACCTCTTCGGCCTCTTATCCCCATACGCTACAACAACAAACCCCAACCCCCGTTAGCATACACTCCCCCTCCCTAGAACAAAACAAGAAAAGCCAAAGAAATGTGGAAAAGGGGATAACATACTCCTCTCATACAAACTCCACGACGTATACATCAGTATCGGCAATCCCACCATTACTGATATCCATCTATATAACCATACCCACGTTAATGATGAATTCCAACATAGAAGGATATAAAGAGATGATAGCAGTAAAGTAGGGAAAGAAGGAGGAGAAGGAGGGGTGACGTACCGTCTCGCGGCGACTTTGTATTCTTTCGTTTGACGAATATCTTTAATTGCTCCTGCTCTTGCTCCTGCTGGACGTCCACGCGGTGGGATGGACGTCTGTTGTGGTTGGCGGTGATGGGGATCCATGTTCACTCTTGGTTTGGGGTTGGATGATGGTTGGGTGGGCATTTTTTCTTCTTTTATGTTTTTATTGGTTGGTTGGTTGGTTCAGTTGGGGGGTTTGTTATTTGGGGTTGATTTAGTGGATGAGTGATGTTAGGTGATTGATTATTCGGATTGAAGATAGATTGGATATGAAATGATTGATGGGATAGATGGATGGATGGACGCGGAAAAGTCAGGTGGTTCGGGAATTTGTGTTTGTGCCTGAGGCATCTATATTCTATCTTCTCTAGACAATAGCCAAGTTGTTTCCACAACACTGCATAATAGCCACGATGTGTATGTATTTATTTCATTTGTAAATTATTTAAATTAACCCGCTGTGCTATTGCCTTGGCTATCCACCCAATTTCGAAGTTCGAGAATTAAAAGTCATCCTACAGTACAGAAAAAGTAAAATAGTGAAGGGGAAAAAGAGAAGAAACAACAAGATAATACAGCCCGTCCAGGTCCATTCTAGTTCTTCGAATGACCAAATAAGAAAACAAAAAATTGAGCAAGCAAGCAAAGCATAATCTAAAAGAAACGCCAATAACTTCGCCTGCCTGTGGAATTAAGCGCTATGCACGAATGGCTCGAAAAACTTCCGTAACTCCGTAATGTTGAGAGAGAGAGAGATGAAATCAAGCTGACCATGAGGGAGTGATATTGAGGATGAGGTGCTTTGTTGTATTGTCGATAAAGTCGATAAAGAGTGAGACGATTGTAGATGCCGATTTGGTTGCACTTCGATAGTAACAGCAGCTCCGGGATGATGTAGATGTAAATGTGAGTTCCACACAGAGTGCTGTTTACTTTGAGAGAGCAGTGAGAGATGTATGTGAAGCAGATGAACCATGAAGAAGCGATCCAGACACACTTAGACTTCAGTGTACGGACGCTTCCGCGGGTTGATAGCGTATAGTTTGAGATGCCACGCGGAGCGCCGAGTAAGCGATAGAGATGAGAGATGCGTGTGTCATGAGGTAGCAGTGACGCCTTGATCCATCGAGCTATATATGAAGTGCAGTAAACCGTAATCGAGCGAGCTCAGATACTCAACGATCAGTTTGTAATCGGCTCTGGGTTGAGATGGAAATGAGTAGAGTGCCTCTAGAAGCCGAGTACATGATGCGAATGTGAGATGTGTATCGTCGAGCATCAGAAAAAGCATCCTCAATATCAGTCGGTAACGAACCTGCGGGTTGATATGGTAGTGAGATGCCACGCAGATTCGATACCAAGATGAGATTCGAGAGATATAAAGGAGCCATCGTATCGTGAACAAGCGAACCAAAGCATACTCCATGACCAGTCCGAACCGGATCTGCGGGTTGAGATGAATATGAGTTGCCACGCAGATCCGGTGACATATAAGATAAGAAAAGAGAGATGTAAAAGAGCCACTGTATCTTCATCAAGCATCAAAACACATTCCATGGTCAGTCTGTACGGTCTGCGGGTTGATATGTAAGAAAGGCGATGCCACGCAGATTCGAAACAGATTGAGAGATATGAGAGATTTGAACAGCCACTTCTTCTTCATCAAGCATCAAATCACACTCAATGGTCAGTCGGTACGGGTCTGCGGGTTGATGAGCAAGTTTCGATGCCACGCAGACCGCGCACATGCGATGTATAAAGCTAGACGAGTGTAGACTGACCATCGAGAAGCATCTCAGTTGGGTTGGCCGTTGGAATGGCCGTTAGGTTGACCGTTGGGCTGGCTATTGGGATCATCAGATTTGTCCGATGGAACGTTCCGTTTGCGTGCGTTGGCGCGACGAGCTCTCTGCTCAGCGTGATTCTGAAATTCGGCGATCAAGGCGGCCGCAGCACGGCGACGGGGACGTCCCCCAGGAGCTGTGTTGTAGTTTCGGGGCGGCGGTCCGGGAAGGGGAGCCAAATTGAGAGCCTCGAGCTTGTCTTTGGGTGGTTCGGGGGGCCCCTTTGCAAGATCTTCTGGCGTCGTGCGTTTCATCATCTCTTGAGTATAATTACGACGCAGGCCGAGCTTCAGGATTTTGGAAGGGCTAGATCGCTCCTGCTGACTCTTCGTCTCGGTGGGCTTCGTCTCAGCGGGCTGATCTTCCATCTCAGAATGGGATCGTTTTCTGGTAGCCCCCGCCGCTCCTCCCTTCAAGGTCAGCTTGATGCGCAGCGTCTTGGGCGGCTCAGAAGGTGGAGTTGGTTCCGGCTCCCTCCGGCGTCGCTTGGTCGGTTGAGTGGTTTCTGAGGCCTCGCCGCCGCGGCGCCGTTTGCGAGTCGGCTCCTTGGTCTCCTTGGTCTCTTTTGCTTCACCTGAACCGTCTTTCGGGGCATTTTCATCGTGCTGAGCGATCAAGGTTTGGATATAGGCAGCCGGCATCATTCGGTCAACAGCGATACCTCTCTTGCGGGCCTCCTCCCGAGCCTTGATGGTTGCCTTGACCTCGTCCACGTTTTCGAAGAAGAAAGGCATCTTGTTGTCCTGGGGCAGGTTACGCTCTCCCATGCGTGGGGGATACCCAAAGATGCGATCCTTCTCAAATTGTTCGTGAGACTTCAGGCGAATCGGAGGTTGGGGAAGCAACTTGTCTCCGTAGGTGTTGTTAGGGCGGAACCAAGAGTAGCCTTCGCCAACGAGCACAAGCTCTTCACCATATTTATTCTTCTTGCCTGTGAAAACGAAACCGTCCTCGTCAGTCCACCGGTGCGTCTCGGACGTAGAGAAAGGCTTACTGGATCCCTCAACGCCGATCTCTGCCTGGGGCTGCGCTTCGGATGCGGCCTCGGTCACGGGCTCCGCCTCGGACTGCACCGTTGGAGTTTCGGTCTTCTTCTCCTCAGACTTCTTCACGTACTCCTTGCGCAGCTCTTCGAGCCAGCCCTCGGCTTCCGATGACGGCTCAAATTCTGGAGCAACAGCTGCCGCGGCCAGGTCAAGAAGTCGGTTTGCAACAGCTGCCCATTTTCCATCGACGGCTGCCTTAAATGCCTGTGCGGTACCAGTTGTTTTCGCACTGGCCTTTTTGTTTGCACGCGTCTTTTTCACTGCTGCCTTGCCCTTTACTTCTTTGAGAGCAGACTCTGGCATTGATGACGGTGCACGGTTTCTGCGGAAGCGCCGCTCAGATTCCAACGATTCCATAGCTTTGATGGTAGGCTTTCTGGTTCTTCCAGATGTGCGCGCAGCTGAAGTAGTGGTTGAGAAGCTGGCAGTTGGGGAGCCTGGGCCATCATTGGAGCCATCGAGACCAAATTTGTTTCCATACATATCAGCAGGGTATTCAAAGGGAAAGCTTTCGCCGTACGGAGTACTGCGTTCATATCCAGGAGTATCCAAGTCATATCCAGACATGGTCTCGTATCCAGCTTTGCTGTCAAAGGCAGGAGTGCTTTCGATGCTGTCAGCAACCTCGCGGCTGAAAGGTGTCTTTGGGGCTGACGGTGTTTCAAGAGACCCGTCATCCACGGCCTGGCTGGCTGAGGTGGCTGCAGTCTTTCGAGTAGAACGCTGGGGTCGAGAACTTGTTCGAGCAGCAACCTGTGAATTGACAGGCTTGTGACTGTTTGCATTCACCGCAGAGACGGGAGTCGACTGCGCTGATTTGGAATCCTCAGTGACAGCCATTGCTCTAGACTTGCGTTCCGCACGACGAGATCTGGCAGTCGTGGTACGAGGAGTCGAGCGAGGCTGCGTAGCAGGTGTTGCAAGCTTGGTGCTAGCCTCCTGGGTTTGGGCAGCTTTAGCAGTGTTGGCAGACGCAGCAGAACTAGCGGGAGTTTTGTTGGCTTTGCCGCCCTGAGCGTTCTGCTGGGGTGTAGAAGTAACAGAAGTGGTAGAGTCCACTGAAGAAGTCTTCTCGCTGTTCTCAACGCCGTTCAGCTTGGCTGGCATAGACTTGCGCGTCTTGCGGCCGTTGGAAGCGGAACGGTTCATAACAGGTGAGTTTGAAACGTTAGAAGTAGACATAGTGGGGTTTGGTGACGGGTTTTGAGTAGCCAAAGACTTGCGTCGGTCTTGGGGTTTTCTTGACAGAAAGTTATGCAACGTCGACTGGGACTGTTGCTTGGGATTGGGAGCAGGAGTTGCAGGTTGCGCGGTCTCACCGTTGGCTAAGGCCGATTTCCTGCCGCGTTCTCTTTTCCTAGAGACGCTGTTGGATATCTGCGAGGGACCACCAGAGCCTTTCTGGTTTGGGGTCTGGGCAGAATCTTGAGTTGAATCTGTCTTTTCGTCTACAGTAGCAGAACGCTGCGTCTTGCGACGTTTGGCAGAGGGGAGCTGTTCTTCGAAAGACGTTGTGACAGGTGTTGGGGGCAAAGAGTAAGAGGAGTGGGAGAGGTTTGAAGGGTGAGCTTCTGGTTCACGCGTTGTCCTACGTGAGGCACGAGATGAACTGCGACGTGTTTCTCGCTGGAAATCTGTTTAGAAATCGAAGAAAGAGACGCGAGGCAGAAAGATGCAGAAGACTTACGGGAGTCAAGTCGAGGGAGAGGGCAGCGGGGGACCCAAGTTCCCTCGCAACAGAAGCCCTACCAACCACTTCAGTGTTGTTAGCTTCCATCACAGTGAATAGCCTGATCCAAGTGAATCCCCAAGTCCCAAAACGGGATTCTGGTCTTTGTTCGGCTTACTTGTTCACCGTTTCTCAGTCACTTCCGTCCCTTCAGCAACCCCGATATACGGCTTGTCCCGGCCGAATCCTTGATTATACAACCACTAATACTTCGGAGGCAACGGACAGATTGGCGGGCGAACTACAGTGTCTATTCCGGCTGAAATGAAGGGGTTCGATCGGAAGGGTAATGCGACGGGGATTTGGGGCTTTTCGGGCCTGTGAGGCGAGGCGAGAGTCAGTGAATGGAATGAGGGCCGATGGACGATTCGGAAAACGGAGGCAAGCAGGAGCGGCACCTCCTGGAAACCCAAAACACCTGGCATGAACCACCAACGGGGCACGAAGCAGTCCAACTGTCTTCTCCACGTACCAATATCCAGCTATACTCGTTGTAATTGTAACCACAACCGCCCAGATCCAACTCGTCGTGATCGGAGACCAGGGTGACCCGTCGGTGAAGCGGAGGCGAGGAGTCGGAACGTCAAGGCAAACTGCAGGCGCAGGGGGGCTCCCGGGGCTAGAGAAGAAGCATATAAGACATGGCGCAAATGCAAAGGAGCGACTATTGAGCCGTTCGAGGATCTCCGGGATCGCAACAGTGGCAGGCAAACCCGATAGTCCGGACGAGGGAGCGAAGAAGAAATGTTTGGCAGCCCGAACTCCATCGAGATGCCGGGAAATTAGGGCTTGCACGGGCGGGCGGGCGGTCACTGGACCGCCGCTTGCCCCAAAGCCGCGGGCGCTTATCTTAGCGCATCTTCCGCTTCGGCCTGTTCGTGTCGACGCTCAAGCTTCCCATTCCTCTCGCTATATCCCCGGTGTTTGGCCTTGTCGCTTCCTCCTTTTCTGTTCATTCTACTGCCTGGTCGCTGTGGTTTTGGTCTCTCGCTCATTATGCAGCTGTGGCACTCCGTTCTCCAGCTTTCCTTGCTGGCTTCTGCTGCCATCCCGACCGCGGCTGCCTCCGCATGGGGATTTACTGATGCCACCGTGTCAGTAAACACCAAAGGCGCAGGTGTCGGCGCGGGCGTGAAGGAGGTGTACGTTTCTTGTTTTCTACGTCGTTATCTTTCTCTTCTGGAACTTTTGGACTGATGGTATCTCTCAATTGACAGTATCCCCGATAACAAAGCTCTCACCAAGCCCGTCGCCCTTGGAGTCGCCGATACCTTGAAAGTTACCTTGACAGCTCAAGAAGGACGCACCGGAAAGCACGCACACCAAGTGTACCTCCTCCTCCAGGATCCTGAGACCGGATTGGACATTTCATACCCTTTCAACGTCAAGGACAATGGCAAGTCCAGGCTTGACCTGGTGGGTGGCCCTAATTACAGCGCAGAGCCAGCTAGGACACAGCTGATGTATACTTCAGACCCAGAAAGACCTTCCCATCCAATTCCTTTCCGCCTCCGAGCCTCTCGAGGCCCGATTCCTCATCGGATCCTTCGGCGAGTCGACCGCATACAATGCTGCTGCCTTCCAGCTGGATGTGACCCGTAACGCTGATGAACCCGTCCCGACCGTCGAGGTTTCGCGGTACGGAAAGCTTCCTGAGATCCACCACATCTTCAAGAGCGATCCTCAGAGCCCTCCCATTGTGATCACCTTGGCTTTTGTCGCCATGGTGCTTGCTACTCTGCCCGTTCTGGGTGGTGTGGTAAGTTCTACTCTATACCATTGTTTTCAATACATCATTGACACTGTTCCAGTGGCTCTTCCTCGGTGTCAACGTCAACCACCTGCCTACCGCCTTGAAGTCGGCTCCTATTCCTCACGTCGTGTTCCTTGGCTCCCTTCTCTCCATCGAGGGCATCTTCTTCCTGTACTATACTTCTTGGACTCTTTTCCAGATCCTCCCTGCTGTCGCAGTGGTCGGATCCGTCGCATTCGTCAGCGGCAGCCGCGCTCTGGGTGAGGTCCAGGGCAGACGGCTTGCCGGACTCAGGTAAACTGCAGTACTGGACTACTGCGTGCCTGAGCGATCAATTTTGAAGTAGTGTTCCTATAGGGAACCAGGCTTGTGCAGACAAGCCTTACTGTATGAGTGTAGCAAAACCAGACATGAATAGGACTCAAGCATCTACTATACGATACTTTCATCATAGCATATCTCTTCAAAAATACATCCCAGACCGTCAGGGGCATACCCTTCACAACAGCAACCACAATATCAGTAAAGAACAAGTAAATAATTCGTAATGGCTGACGTCACCCGCGCGGCTAGCCCATCATCCCAAACAGGCTAGTCCGCCCGATCCTCTGCAGAAGGCAATTGATTCCATGTAAAACCGATCATCACCACCACCGCAATTATGCTTCCAGAACATCAGTGCTAAACCCCAGCTCCACCCCCAGATCCGCAATCTCAAATCCTCCAGATCCCATGGGCGCCTCATCCTCCAAGCCCGCGAGATCCGCTGCCCAGGCTGTCTCGCGGCGCCAATACCCAAAACAACCCGTTTCTCCTCCGACCTCCTCCCCAGCACAACCACCACCAGCATCCAAACCCACACGACAACAACCACAACCACCGCGACAACCGTCGCGACCACCCCCCGCCGGACCAACCTACCACTCCAAAGAACCCCCCTCCCTCGAGCGCTCATCAGGTACGTACATACATCCACCCCCATCCCATACATCCAAAACTCAAACTAACAATCCTTCTACAACAAAAGCAATCGACCTCGACGGCCGCGACCCCGACTTCGCCGCACAGCTTCGCACCATCGGCCCCGTGACCCCGAACCCGACCTTCTCTCCCTCCAGCACCTTTGCGCGCCAACAACCCGCGCCTACCGTCTTCCCGCCCGCATCTAACCCGGCGTTACTGGTTTTCTCGGCGCGGCAGCGCCTCACCAAGGCGGCGGAGCAGGAGCTGGAGGCGATGGGGAGATCGGGGTTCCAGGGCAGGGAGTACCTTGATGCGTTGACTATTCGGCAGGTCCTGGCGATGAGGGATAGGCAGGGATTGTCGGCGGAGGAGATTGAGCGGCTACTGAGGTTGAAGAGTGGTGTTGTGGGGAGGTTGGGGGAGAGGGGGGTGGTAGGTGATATTGGTTAATGGGTTGGGATCTGCTTGTTGCAAAGAAATGAGTGTATGATAGGGAAGAGTGGACGGATGTATGTATGCATGGTTATGGAATGGCATTGTAATTCTATGGGATGATTTGGTTCGGTGCTGAGGTGTTGTAGATGGCTTGTTTGGGGGTTGTGGATGAGTGTTTGGGCCTAAACTGATGCGTAGGGTTATATCTATGAACTGTATGTTGCTGCTATGTTGCTATATTACAGCAGAGCTCGTGCGATTCTGTGGGCATGTGGAATCACAGGAGAACTCGGCCTTGCTCTTCCAGGGCAGAATTGGTCTTCAATAGCCTAGATCAATTAATTTTGCTCAAGAAGCCGAGGCTGAGTGTTCTTCATGTCCATCATATCCTATGTGTTTATGTTCAACGCTTGGTCTCAATATATTGCTACCTTTCCTTGAACGTCCGCCATATGTCTACTCAAAAAGCCCCATCGGGATGGACTATAACAGAGACACAAATGGGAAAATTGCCTGAAATAGCCGCTTATGTACTCACTGTAGTAAATATGAAATTATATATGATTAGTAAGAAGCCAATTAATGCATGTTGGTTCAATTCCATATCATGTTGCTGCAGTGGCATTTGTGTTATACTTCCTTTACTTGGTTATCCATCATCGCCGCAGGACGTTTCATGCAAACTTTAGTACAGCACTAATGGAATCAGTAGATTCTATGACATCTCGCTTTCTATCAGTAGTGCGCTAAAAGACCGCAAGTACGGGGCTTTCCTTCCAAGCTGACAATTCTGGAATCTGTTTATAATTTGAGAGACTTCGGTTGCTGAAATATATATTCATGCCACTGGGGAAGAGCTCAATATAATCTTCAATATTATCACGTCCTCACCTCTATCCTGTCCAGATAACAATATAATTAAGATTACGAAGTAAAAAAACTAAATAAAGCCTATAACAGTCGCAAAAAAGGGATCTTGACCCAAAAACCTAGCAGGTGGAGCAAAAACCAAAAAGATCTCCCCGACTGGGAGTCGAACCCAGGTCTCCCGCGCTTGTTCCTGTTAAGGATTGACAAGCGGAAATCATGACCGTTAGACCATCGAGGATTGTTGTTGTCAGCCTCTTTAAATTACGCTAAATCAGCTACCAATTCTTACCCTCAAAACAAGGGCCATTGTCCTCCGTACCGGTCCCATCCCAACCATGAAACCTACTCCCCCAGATGACGATTCGACTTCCCACACCATCACCGTGAACCATTCCAAAACTGGAGATCCCGATGTCTCTTCCTTTCACTTCTCCTTTCAGAAATCCTCTACCAATATCCGCCACACCACGAATGATTGTAACCGGTCACAAGAAACCCCATCATCAACGCTGTCGGCGATTGCAAAGTGTGGGCTCCATATAGGAACATATAACTGGATACCAATGTCGGAGAGATACGGGGAACATACTGCACGCAGACAATGTCATGCACACAGCGGCGGTGATGCGTTGTCAATGATTCTTTGGTTGATATTCCATTACTCAGGAATGTTGGGTCAGGCTGTTGAATCTAGTATCTAAGTAAGCAAGTAAACTGGAGCCAAATGAACCAATTACTAGACTTATGTGGATGGTGCGAACTAAATACTTACTTAGCTACTACTAGTAGTTAACTACTATAGGAGTCATGCTGACGATCCGGGGAAATATCAAGTGACTACCGAGACCGCATCATCCGGGGAAGGAGTATATACCAATGAGATGGTGATGAAGGAGAGGAACCCGGAAATGTCCGTGTGTTGGGGTTATAGTATACACACACACATTGAGAAGATCCAATCTCAACCGAACTGAACATCTTCTAATAGTACAGTAGTAGAAACAGGTGATTCCCTCCAACAACGAATTAAATATAGACGGACTGCAAGGCCTAATCACCACGTGAACTGGGACCCATAAACACTAATACTGCAATATCGAATAAGGGTCTAGATTATGTTCACAAATCGATCCCCTTGCATCTCGATCGAAGACTAGGCCGTTTAGGCGATATGTTAGGCATCAATATGTATCGATTTACCTTCGAATGACTGAGCCGGATGGATCACCAGACTTATTTCCTGGTCTTGCTTTTATTTTCTCTTTCTTTATTAACTTGAGTGGCTTGTTTGGGTTCGCTCGGCACATAGATCCGTCTTAGGCTCTCTTCCTTCTTACATCCATAGTAGGTATCTAGTTACTAGAAAAGAGAAAAGATGACTGTCCTCTCAGCTAATAATCCCCCTGTATAAGACCCAAATAGGCAATCTCTTTTGCTTTCTCGGCGAAGTCTGGTTTCATCTATTTCACTTTGCAGGTGGAACTAGACTACTAAATAGGCCAATAGCAGGTTATCTGCTGTTCGTGTTGTGTGAGTGTAGCACAGCCATCTCTATCCATACAATTCCTATTCGAAGTTGTACTAAGTACTGTTCGTATGAATCACCAGAGAATAGAGCAAGGTAGCGAGCGAGCGAGCGAACTTAGTAACTACCCAATTAAACCCAAAACCAAATCCCAAATCCAATAAATATAGAAATAGTTATCAGTCTATACATCAACCTAACGTCACATCTACCTCTTCAACCCTGGTTCAGAACCGTTCTAAAACGTATGCAGTTATGCGGGGATCACTAAAGTGGGGTGGGGGTGATTACCCCGGATCGATGGGTGGGGATAGGCAGTATGATGGGTCTTGGCAGATACTAGGAAGGAATCCATGATTAGGCTCAGCTTACGACTACTCTTACTACTTTTGCGACAGGGTGATTTATTCTTCGTGCTTCATTGGACTATGGATTGCTAGGCTCAGCTCAAGGTGAATTTTGTGTGGGGTCATGTGCGATTTTCCGGGGTGGTGGGATCTGCGCGCTAAGTGGTGCTATTTGTAACTTTGTTTTGGGTTGTGTTTTGGTCTAGCTTGCTGATGGGGACTGTTATTGGGTGGTGTAATTGATGGAGGTGGAGGGTGTTGTTTTATTACTGGGGGATCATGGATTCATATATCGGAGGAAATAGTAATATTGATTAACTAGGTAGGTAGGGATGATAGGTATGTATAATAGGTACAGGTACAGGTGGTAGGTAGCAGCTCTAGGTACTGTTCATCAACCCAATCATCCCGTTCAGACACCAAACGCTAAAGGGAAAGAGATATTGGCCTCCTGATGAAGAGCCAGACGTCATGATAAACCAATTGTGATGTGAAGTGCTCGCTTCCAATGAACGCCATGCGGTAATCAGAGTGCAGTATAGAAGAGTGATAGGAAAAGGAAAAGAGGATGACTGATCATGTCATCACCATGCGGCGTGACCACCGTCAATGCGGAGGTCACTACCGGTCATGAAGCTGCTGGCGTCGCTGAGGAGGAAGACTGCAGCACCGCGGTACTCGTTGGGTGCGGAAAGTCGGCCGAGCATGTTCTGCTTGGGCCACTCGTCGCGACGCTCAGGATATTGTTCGAATAACTTCTCAACCATGGCGGTGACAATGTACCCAGGGGAGATGGTGTTGACGCGGATTTTGTATTGGCCCCATTCGGAGGCGAGGTTACGGCCGAGTTGAATCACGGCAGCCTTACTGGCATTGTAGGCGGGGCAGATGAGACCCTAGAGCACCATGAGTCAGTTTATGCACAGAACCCCAAGAGAAGGAAGAGTCAAAGCGGGGAGGACAGGTAGGGCTGGTAACGGGTGACATGATGGGAACATACCCGATTGGCAATGGTGCCACTCATGCTCGCAATTAGGGCGATGCTGCCTCCATTCCCGAAGCGAATCATTTGCTTGGCGACTGCCTGAGCGGTCATGAACACTCCCGTGACATTCACCTCAAACATGGTGTTGGAATCCTTGGCTGTGTACTCCAGCGCGGGGGTCTCTTGCTGGATTCCGGCCGCCGCTACCAGACCATCCATTCGGCCTTCAGTGTTGGCAATAGTTTCAATCACGGTGTTCAGCAGCTCCGTGTCGCGCACGTCGATGCGACGGTAGTGAAGCTCAGTACCCAGTTCTTGCAGAGCACGCTCCTGGATCACGGCGAATTCGGGAGACTAGAAGAATTGCGCGTTAGAAGAGGACATAGTAGACTGCTTCTAGGTCACTTACGGGCTCATCCAGACGATCAAGAGCGTAGACTTTGGCGCCCGCTTCCAGAAGGGCTTCAGCTTGGGTCAAGCCAAGGCCACGCGCAGCTCCAGAGACCAAGACAACCTTTCCAGCCAGGCTGAACTCGGGCATCCTGGACTTGGAGCCGAGACATGGGCCATCCTGTACAACAGGGACCGGGGCGGGGGCAACGTCAGTGGTGTCGAAGGAAACAGACATTGTGGAGTAAGTGTAGAGTAAGGTAGAGTTCAAAGACAATTAGAATGGAGAAGGTTTCAGGTGTAGGATAGACGGTGAGTTGGGAAAGTCTTTAAGTTCTTGTAGCACGCGAGTCACTGAGAAAGCAGAGGTGAGCACGAAGAAGACTCAATTGCTGATGGAAGAGTTCTCAATGAGCATCGAGTGAGCTTCTTATACATTTCACGATGAGCCCATGGGTGGCTTCCTCAGGGGGAATGATGTTGGCCCAAGACGGTCATGAGGGCTCATGTGAGCAACTAGAGATTGGAACCAGCACCCAAGAAAGATTAGCTGCGAGGGAGAGGTGGATGCGGTCCAGACCCAGGGAATGCGTGGACGGATGGGGATAGAAGGGAATACAATTCAGGTTCCACCAAGTGGTCATTCGGTCCTCTCTATCGTGGCAAGACCTGCAGGCATCTTTCCGACACTGAATGTTTCTGTATATCATACTGCACGGCAGCTATCCCGACCAGACGATAATAGTATACGACCTTGATTAACGCATATCCCTAGGGTCACTACAGTAATAGTTACTGCTCTCTTCAATCAGTATGACATCTCAACCAGGAGTATTTCCAGTTTCTCCCCAGCAGTAACTGGGTAATGAAAGGATGTCGATAAGTAAAGAGAAGCGGGCAAAGTGACATGGCCAATGGGGATGCACGCCCGCGGATGACGAAGTTAAATCATCATGAAGTAACGATATGTCTTGAGGCCCATCATGAGAAATTCCCCCAGAAGCGTCGCTCTAACAGCATCATCCAAGGCAAATTTACGGCCTGACCGACACGAACAACGGACAACTGCCGGTCATGGCTTTCCACTGGAAGGGCCACTATTCGTGGAGTGCTCGGCTTTCTCTTTTAGGCAATCCGGGGATGGGGCGAATGGGGGCGCGGCGGGCGGAAAGAAGCTCCCCTCTACCAGTAACCAAAAAACTGGGGATGGGAAAAGAATGACCGTCAGGGTGACAGTTGGTCTGTCTCTGCCACTCCTGCTGATCACGGGGCCTGCCTGGGCGGTTCTGGAAGCTACATTTTATTCGGTCGAACATTCGACAGAGTGGTCACGCGTCGTTCGGAGATCATCCCGGATCCAATGCCAATCTTCCAGAGCCCTCGTCCTGCACATTATCAGGCACCTATCCGGGTACAGCATGTAGGGGTGTTATGTATGCATCACCTACATTGGAGATAGGGCCTTTTCAGTTGAGACGGTGGCATAGTATCTACTTTCTGTCTAGGTTGTTACTATGCATTTCACCTCAGTCTATACGTGGAGTGTGATCCTTTTTCCTGTATCTGCAGTACTACTAAGTACTTACTTTGCGACAGCAAGCTTATCACAGGTCCACGCAATCCTATTGGCCAATTGCTGGATCGTTTAGTTGTGGTGAGGATGGTTTTTGAAATTTGCAGTTCGTGCCAATTCCGCGGTCGCTAACATCCCCATCCCCATGGGTATCACTAAGAAGTATAGCGATACGGATCGAGGCAAGTCGTTTCATGCACTTGAAACAAATCAATATCTGATAGAAGTCTCGGACATAACCAACCACAATACCATGCGTATACGAGTCAGCGCATAGATGTTAAACCAGGGGCCACATACCCAAGCCCATCGAAACCACAACCATACCTTACTTTCCAGGAGGTTTGGATGAGGAAAATATTAACCACCATTCCAGGTACAGATAGATACATGGTCCCTGCTTCCCACGATGTGGTTAATGGGCCTAAACCAGATGTAGAGCAAGCAATCTGATCGGCCACCAGAAGCGGATCCGTGGGATTGCCGTGTGACCATCATATTTTTCTTCGCTGGATGGGAGGGTCTCATCCCTATCCCGGGGAGATGGACCGTGACGAGGTGAGGTGTCCCCATCTTTCCCTTCTGGGACTCCCGGGTGGCTTTTTCCTGCCTGAAATTAGGGGCATTTCGGCCCCGGACTTCTGCTACCATGGCACCCGCGTCTTCATCGGCGGCTGTATCAGGTCCCGTGAGCATTCTAAATTTCGATTATTGATTGATGTTTTGGAGCTTAAGCTTGGACTAATGCCCAATGACGCTCGTTCCGGTTCATGCGGTAGAATATGCTGGTCTGCCTGACAACTGAATCTTAATGGCTGTGCTATTGCTGGCCATTTGCAAGTTCCCTAGCTCGAGCATGGCATGAGAATAGGCTTGAATAAGCATTGGGTCCAGATGCGCCCATCGGACATGCGGCCTGCTTCCCTGTCGAATCCGGAGGATCCGGGAGTATAATCCGCAGAGAGAGCCTTTGCTGCATACAATTGTGCTCGTGTGTATTATGAGTACGCGTAAAGGCTATCGGAAGATGAATGTAAGTGAGTAAGCCTGTATTAAGTAGTCGATAGACAGAGTCGTTCAACAGAGTGAAAGGATCAAAATGCGGGAGAGACGGCAATCGGCAGCGGCAATGATCGACTCGAGGGTGGCAGATTGTTTAGGGATCCCCAGGTTCCAGACTCTCCCACGGACAGGCTGGAGAGTAACTGCTGGTCAGTGCGCGATGCGCCCCCTGGCGGGCTAGGTGTCGAGGCCCCAGCGGAATGCTACAGGAAACGTTGAGCAACAACCCAGATTTCAACCATATTACTTCGATCTTGATGAAACAACTGCTGATGCGGTACTCGTAATCAAGGAATTAACTTATATTAAAGCATTAACACCAGGTTATGTTTGACTGCGGACAAGCCACATCAACGTTTGATGCTATTTATTGTTCAGTGGAGTCCAGGAAGGCATACTGTAGAGTGCTTTAGAGTATAGTCCGAGGAAAAAAAATGAGTCGATATGATTTTTTTGGGCCTGTAGACGAGACCTCTGGGCCTAAGCAGAGGTTTCCTATCTGATATGGGGAGTGTATGTTCGGTTCAATTTGTGCGCACTCGTAGAAGCAGATGGAAGGCTCACCACCCATATTTTACAAATATAAAGTCTAATGTCTATCCTACAATTTCATTTGACCAGAGCCAAGGAGGATGCCAATATAAGAAAGGTGAACGTGATAGTGACTGAAGCGGTAGCAGATAATACAGTGGCTCAAAGACTTAGAGTTCTCGCCTAATTGCTGCTATCTATAGGCATCTACTATGTATAGATAGTGCCGCCGCGGGGGCGTGAGGCGTGTGACCAGCAAGAATTTCCCCCAACTCCCCACTGCCCCTTCTTTTCTCTCCCCGCGGCAGCTTCAACTCTCGATTGACAGGAAACCTTAACACAGGATACTAATACCTTATCCTATTACCGGTAAAAGTTCACTTCCAAGGTTCACTCCCCCAAGCCACCAACTTGCTACTCCGTCCCTTCCGTCTCTCATTCCGATTGAACTCCGGCATATGGCTGACGTGGCCTCGATTGCACAATAGCTGCCCTTGCGACTGGAACTTGCTTGCTGGGTTTCCCCCTCGTCTCTCATACCTACTATACTTCACTTCCAAGACCTGAGACAGATGCAATATACAAGAGCGATTACCATCTGCCCCACTTGAAACGGTACTGATTGTCTACTAACACCCAGTGATGAGATGCATCTTACATGCTAGAAGCTTCCATATGCATACATAGTTACTTACTTACTCCAGCCAGTCCAGACCGGTCGGCGTCTCTCCGATCGTCAGGTACGGTACTAACTGCGATTGTATGCTTGTCTGCCCGAGGTTGCTGGGGAAGCCGGATCTGGTGCTGTCACATGGCTCTTCAATCCGGCTTTTGGCTTCTAATAGATAACCTGTGCTCATTTGGGAGGCACAGTCCTCGTGTCTCGTCATACAGGGCTTTTTTGTGCAAGTTAATTGTCTGTTCAGAATTCAGATGCGTCCTCTGCTCCCCTGACAAGATGGCTATTGACCTGCGTCCACCGACTAACTAATCTACTTCATTGAATCATCACTTGAGATAGTAGCACTTGATGCTACGGAAGTGCCATTTGAACAGTACTACTATGGTAGCCACATATCCTATGTATTGACCGGAATGGCCCCGGGGTATCGTTCACCAGCTGGGGTGAACTTGGCCAATATCTCATCAATCTCCAGCATCTCTTCATCCGTGATATCAATTTGCGTGCTATTCTCCTCTACCCGCTCCGCAGTTGTGGCACCCGGAATGGGAATAATGGTTGGTACACCCGGGCGCCTGGAGAGTGCTCTCGTCCAGTTGATAGCAAGCTGCGCAGGGGTGCAATTCTTCCTCTTAGCGATATCTTCTACTTTCTGTACCAGCTGCATATTCTTCTCGAAATTCTCCCGCTGAAATCGCGGAAAGTCGAAAGAGCGCAACAGCGAGTCCTGTGGAAGGTCATCAAACTTCTTGAACTGACCAGTTAACATGCCTCTGCCAATAGGCGAGTAGGCAATGATCGGGATCCCGTACTGGGCGCAGGCCGCTGCGACGCCGTTTTCCAGAATATCAGTAGTGAACCTGTTCCAGTCAGCATTTCCCCTTTGCTCCTTCGCAAGAATATCAATAATCCTACAAGGAAAGCTCAGCCTCCACAGCAAGCACCTTAGTATACTTGACAGCTTCATGAATAGTCTCAGCCCGCACCTCCGACAAGGCAATACCCTCGATCTTGCCCGTCTGCACATACTCCTTCTCGATAAGAGCAAACGTCTCATGCATAGGCACGGCCGGGTCTCGACGAGCAAATTCGAACATATCGATCTTCTTGCGACCTTTCAGCTGTGCTATGCAGTTGTGTAGACTGCGGCGTGTATTCTCCGGCGATGCATCTATCTGGTGGGTCTCGGGGTTCACGCCACCCTTGATGTTCAGGACAATTTTGTCGGCATCTTCGGGGTATCTCTCGAGATATTGCTCTAGTAGAACGAGACTGTTGTATTCAAGTGGGCCGTAGTTTTCACCACCGTTCCAACAGGTACCTACATTGCCATTGATCAGCGCTGGTTAGATGGCTGTATACCAGCAAAGAATGAAGACACAAATGTTACATACATCCATTCTGAATTGCAGTATGCATGGCATCAAACGCCTGCTCTTGAGACGGTGGTGTCGCTCTCCAGGTTAATCCCATAAGGCCAAAGCCTATGGGGCCGACCTCCTTCCCGGCAATCTCGGGCATGTTGATTCTCAGGACAGTAAGGTTAGCGGTAGAATAGCAGAGCAGAGTTCTTGAGGAACAATGATTGTTTTTGTTTTCACTTTTTGACTATCTCGTAGAAAGACATCGCCGTGTGCATTTATAAGATGAGATAGCATGGCTACCTAACTAGTCCTCGGTCTTAGACATAACTCCGGTAGTTATTTCCGGTTTGCTTACCTCTTCTTCGGCGATGTTTGGGCGATCTTCAGCGGTCGCTCTTGACTTCCGAGTATTGATTGAGCAAGGTATTCAGATGGATTCTACTTTAGGGTTCAGTTGGCAAGGAATACTAGTTGGATACCCTTTCCTCTAACAGCCAGAGCCAACATCTTACCCCAGTATCTTCAGCGTTGCATTTTCGAAACCTCGATGCGTGCCTCTATCAATCTAAAATTTATCGACTGCTACCTGCATTGTGTCTGCGCTACGGATATCTGAGACGTACGGACTTGGATCTTAGAAAGATGCTACTAAAGGAAAATTAGCGGAGCTCTGGCCACCATTGGATCGAGCTTCATGGGATGACTTTCGTACATTATACATAAGAGCGGGTTTAAACTGTATGCCAGTCTTGGGAAAACCCGGAAGTCATGGAAATACGGTTGTGTCGTTCGATAGCTGAAAAGTCAAGTAGATGGAGGTACGATATAGTCTATCGCCAAAGTACTAGCGATAGAAGGCTACACTAGTTCATTTGAGTCATGATCCTTCTATATGGAAAACGAGGCTGTGCATGTAGGATCAGCCTATCTTTTCAGCCTTGCTTACAGGCAGCAGTGGGGCCCGGATAGGTGACGCATCTCTCGAGCCTCATTCTGCAAATTCCACCTTATTATATAAGACTCAATTACTTGCACTATTCGAGTTAAAAGACAAAAGAAACATATGAAGAGCCAGATAGTACGAGCATTCTGTACTCAAATACCAAACATGCAGCGATCACCCTCCGAATTCCTCACCTCTCCACCGCCTGCCAACGCTCGATGCCATCGCATTAACTTCGAGACTTCTCAACCACCACTCCCAGAATACAAAAACCTCTGCGCAGCAGTCATAGATAACGCGTTCACCGAAGAAGAATGTGCTGAACTCATCCGCATTGCGGAGTCCAGCACTATCCCTTCTGGCGATTCTACCGCGACACCTACCTGGGAACGCGCCATGATCAACATCGGAAATGGCAGGCAAGCGCTCGCAACTGATACGCGGAATTGCGGGCGCATTATCTATGATTCTGAGGATATAGCTGATAAGCTGTTGGCCCGGTTACTGCCATTTTCCAAGGAATTGGGGATTGACAAGATTGACAATCAACCTCGGGTGACGGGCCTTGCAGGGCGGAATAAAGCTTTTGGAATGACTCGGTTAAATGAACGGCTGAGGTTCCTCAAGTATGAAGGGGGGGAGTACTTCCGGCCGCATTGGGATGGGCTATATATGACGCCTGATGGAAAGGAGAAGTCGTACTATACTATTCAATTGTACTTGAATGGCAATGGGGAGCAGGATCTTGGGGAATTGAAGAGGGAAATGAAGAGGGCTGAGCGAGGAGAGGGGGAGGTAAATATGGATGTGAAGGGCGAGCTTCTGGGTGGAGCGACGTCTTTTCTACCCCGGTATGAGGAGAAGGAGAGGCATTTGCGTGTCTTTCCGAAGACCGGTTCGGTGTTGGTGTTTCAGCAGATGGATCTGCTTCATGGCGGGGATCCGGTCTTGAGAGGCACGAAATATACGATGCGGACGGATGTGATGTATCAGCAGTTGTGATCGCTGTATATTTGTTTTTACTAGAAGAAAGTTTAATTCTGTTAGTTGGTGTTCTTGTGTAGCTTTCATGTGGCTGATATGAGAAGACTCAAATGTTGGATGTCTGTCAGAGTAAGCTGACGTTGTTTCCGGCGAAGTTTTCCTCTAGTTGCATAGTTACCCTGCTCACCCGAAGTTAATTGCATTAGACCAGAAGTTGGACACGAGCGAACCACAGCAGAGCTGACTGCAGCAAGCCGTTGCTGCGCACCTCAGCCTGCGATACGAAGCTGACTTGGTGGGAGCGATCTTCTGGTTCCGTGGACTCCATCCGTCAGCTCCGGACCCACTGATCGCTGTGACATCAGGGTCCTTGTGTGAATGTATACCAGAGCCCTTGCGGGTCTCTTATCCCTAAGTAATGAGTACTAGTTGTAATGTAAATGCCTTAATGCGTTCAAAGCAAATGATTGACTCACAATTGGGGTGTACCATATGGGGAATTTTCGGAATCCAGCAAAAAGCCCAACAAGCAGTGTGTCGCCCAAGATCGATCCCGTGTGAACCATCATCCATGTTCGGCTTACCAACTTTAATCCTCAGCTACTACTCTGACTGCCAGTTCAGCTACGGAATTGCCGGTTTAAACCAGCCTCCACATGTAGTGTCCCGAACCATGGACTGCAATTCGATGCCATCTTCGTCCCAGACCCTCCAATCATCTATCAAAGATCCATGGTTCTTCAGACCGCCAGCAACGAGGTCACTATGATCACCACCAAGACTTCGCTACCATTCTTAATGCTTGAGAAGTAATGGCATATCTACCACCGAGGCCTTGGCTGCGCAGCAACCTTGGTCGAGTTGGAAATTCGAAGTGGTCGCTCTTTCTTGCTGTGAAGACGTCGGGGTGAGCTGTACTTCACCATCCCCAACCCATTGGCTTCCTCTAGAAAACAGTAGCCGTATATTACTTGCTAGCATGCAGTGCATAGCAGCTTTACTTGCCTTTGCAAGCATATTGTCAGGTTTGTCATTGTCATTCCCAGTTTCAATTTCACCATTGCACCCTTCCGCAGCTTCCGGAGCTGGTCTAACCACAGGGTTCCATAGGCGTAAGTGCTAGCTTCAACAATGAGTACGGCAGACACTTGATGCAGCAGCGCGCGCTACCAAATGCGCCTGATGGATATACACCAACTACGGTCGGGTGCTCTGCGAGTCGTCCCACTGTGCGCAGTGCGACAGCACTCTCGTCGAACGAATCGTCATGGCTAAGGACTCGGAGGAACAATACACTGTCGGCCATGAGAGAATTCTTCGGTCGCGTCAACATTACAGACTTTGACGCTGTGGGGTATATCAATCGCATCTCTAGCAACACCTCCAATTTGCCGAATATTGGCATTGCTGTCTCTGGTGGAGGGTACCGGGCTCTGATGAACGGTGCTGGGGCAATCAAGGCTTTTGATAATCGTACAGTCAATTCTACAAGCAATGGTCAGCTGGGTGGACTGCTGCAATCAGCAACATATCTGGCCGGCCTCAGTGGTGGGGCATGGTTGGTGGGATCTATTTACTTGAATAATTTCTCCACCATCTCGTCGCTTCAGACCTACGATCCTGGGGATGTCTGGCAGTTCCAGAACTCGATCTTTGAAGGCCCCGACGGGGATAGTATCCAAATTATAGATTCTGCAACCTACTACAGAGATATATATGACGCAGTGTCTGGAAAGGATGATGCAGGTTGGCAGACATCCATCACTGATTACTGGTATGAGTCCTAGCCCAATTCTCGCTCAGCAGCGATACTGATGCCCACCAGGGGCCGCGCGCTTTCGTACCAGCTCGTCAACGCCACCGCCGGAGGAATCAACTACACCTGGTCATCTATAGCTCTGACCGACTCCTTCAGGAGGGCAGAAATGCCAATGCCCGTGCTAGTCGCAGACGGCCGGTACCCAGACGAGCTCCTAGTCAGCAGCAATGCCACAGTCTACGAATTCAACCCCTGGGAATTCGGCACCTTTGACCCAACGGTACACGGCTTCGTGCCCGTTCAGTATCTGGGCTCACGCTTCGTAGCCGGATCCCTTCCCAGCAACGAAAGCTGCGTCCGCGGGTTTGACAATGGCGGCTTTATTATGGGAACCTCATCTACCTTATTCAACCAATTCCTCCTTCAAATCAACACAACTAGCCTCCCCAGCTTCCTGAAAGACGCATTTACAAGCATCCTAGAAGATCTCGGCGAAAACAGCCAAGACATAGCAGTTTACACCCCCAACCCGTTCTACCTCTGGGCCAATTCCACCTCCCCATCCGCAAGCCAAACAGTCCTCGACCTCGTGGATGGCGGCGAAGACCTCCAAAACATCCCCTTACATCCACTCATCCAGCCAGAGCGCCACGTGGACGTCATATTTGCCGTGGACTCCTCCGCAGACACGCAGTATAACTGGCCCAACGGCACCGCATTAGTCGCCACCTACGAGCGCAGCCTAAACTCTACGGGCATCGGCAATGGGACAGCTTTCCCTGCTATCCCCGACCAAAATACTTTTGTCAATGAGGGTCTCAATACGCGACCGACGTTCTTCGGGTGCAACTCATCGAATACCACTGGGCCAGCACCGTTGGTTGTTTACCTTCCTAACTTTCCGTATGTGACTTTTTCGAACGTGTCGACGTTTGATCCGAGTTACTCGGAGTCGCAGAGGGATAGTATTATCCTTAATGGGTATGATGTGGCCACGATGGGGAATAATAGTCGCGATGGGGAATGGTCTTCTTGTGTTGCGTGTGCTGTTTTGAGTCGGTCTTTTGAACGGACTAACACTACGGTGCCGGATCAGTGTAGCCGGTGCTTTGAGAGGTACTGCTGGGATGGTACTACGAATAGTTCGACTCCGGGTACTTATGAGCCCAGTACGGTATTTGATAATGCTGGGTATGCTGTAATGCCTGCTGTTTTCGCGACTACGATGGCTGCTGCGACTGTTTCGGCGTTTATGTAGGACGTTTCCCTGCTGTTTAGGGTGTATGGATGGTACAGTGTATGTGTAGTGAGATTGATAGGAACACAACAGTCAATGCATAGTAGGTTTACATGAAGAAAGTATATTATTGTGCAATTCAAGGCATTCCATGAAATGCAGGAGTGATTGACGTGCTCGACTCCGGATGAGGCAGCCCACTTCCCTCACGTGTCGCGTTACCAGGGGAACCACCGCCCGATCGCCCAAACAAGCAAGCGGCACAAACAGGAGCGTCCACTCGGGCGACTTCGATGATCGGCCTCCACTGCTAACTAGTCAACAACCACGCCAACTCGACCACCACCATCCCCTGCTTACTTTAACCCTGCATACAAGCTTCCGGGGTTAAAGCAAGTGATTGTTCACTTATCGCCAGTGGACGCACAATGAGCACGGCAATTCAGTACTGAGTCCCCGCCGCCACCGACACACCACAACAGAAGCGGGACATCAACAACACCACCTCCGACCTCCCGCGCGGTAGCATTTACCGACTCCGAATATTGATCAGCACACAATGGCTCGCGCAGCAGTCATCCCACAGTCGCCGCCCAAGCGGACGACGCGCACACGAACCAAGGGTTCGACGACCACTACATCTGCTAAACCTGCGCCCAAAACGACAAAAGCCAGGGCACCTAGCTCTGCCACCGAAGCGAGGAAAAGAGGCAGCCGGACCACAGCAGCAGCAAGCAAACCCGCGGAGGAAGAAGCGGATGAGTCGACAGACGATGAGATTGGCATGTTCTCCGAAAGGAAGACAACGACGGTAGCAAAACCTAAGGGCCGACCTCCGACTAAATCCACAACTAGCACGACCGGTCGTGGTAGAAAGCCCACGCCCACTACAAACGCGGAATCGGGCAGCGACAACGATGATGAGCTTGCTCAGTCTGACGCGCCAAAGAAGCGCGCTGGGAGACCGAGGACTAAGCCTGCGACGCCTGCAAAGACCGAAACCGCCCCAAAGACGCGAGGACGACCGAAGGGTTCTACAACAACAAAGTCGACCAAGCCAGTCGATCCTGTGAAGGAGAACACACGGTTGAATGCGAAAGGCTTCACGGACATTGATTTCTCTTCATCGCGCGAAGCACCCAAGCGTGTGTATATTGCGACGAACTCTGCGACCGCGAGATCGAACATGCTGCGTGGACCAGCGAAGAAGAAGAAGGTTACATTTCAGGATCCGTCTGATACTGCAGAAGAAGAAATGAGCGAGCCATCCCCCCCGCCGACTGCTGGAAGACGACGAGGAACAATAGGGCCTGGACGCCAGGCGGGTCTTGCGTCTAAGCCAGTTCGCAAACCTGCAGCGACCTCCGCTAAGGGTCGGAAGCCGGGAACGGCTAAGAAGGATGGTCCGAAACCTCTTTCGCCAAAGAAGGCAACGCAGGTCGCCAAAGCGCTTTCGTCGTATGCCGACTCGGATGGAGAGGATGACGAGCTAAGCGGCGACAAAGATCAGGTCAAATTTGTTGTCGACTCACCCCACAAATACGGATCAGAGAATACCGGCCTTAGTTCACCAGTAAAGAAGATCAACATCACTGGAAAGTTCCGGAAATCACTTGACGAGAATGGCGAGCCTCTGCCTGGCCCTAGACGATCGATCGACTTTAACGACACACTCCTTATGTCCAGCCCTGCTCGACGACCACCCCCTTCGCCTTTCAATTTCTCACTGAGGGAAACACCCAAGCGTGGAGCATTCGCTCTTCGCGATGACCCCAAATCATTATCGCAGCCTCATCTCTCCCCAACACATAATTCACCTCTCAAATTGTCGCCCAGGAAGGCACACTTGGAGACCCCGAAGCGAGGCAGCGTCTTTTTGGACAGTGGCAGGCCTTTGTCGCAACCCAACTTTACCCCGGGGCACAATTCTCCTCTCAAGGCGTCACCCAGAAAGGGCTTGTTCGGGGCGTCGTTCACGTCACAGGCCCATGCCGAATCCACGTCAACCCCATTGAGACACAGTGTCTCCTTCCTCCAGAGCCCAGCAAAAAGAATTGCTTCACCATTCAAAAGCTCGCTGTTTGCAAGCAGAGGCCCCATAACCGAGGATGATGAAGCTGACCCTAGAGAGGATGTGGAAGAACCTGCTACTCCTGACGTCGACGAATCGCCGCTTAGAATGACCGATTTCGAAGGAGCCAAGGATTTTGAGAGTGAAGACGAGCAGGTTGATGAAGAGCTGCCGGAGGGAGTGGATGATAACGATGCGACCAAAGAAATCGATACGCAATCCCCGGCCGTTGCAGAAGAGTCCGACGAAGACACTCTGCACGAAGAGGTTGATCGGGAGCAGACCATAGAGTATGAGGAGGACGACATGGGCAATGCGGCTGAGGACGTCACGACACATGAGGAACATGTTGATAGTGACGTTCCCAATGACCAGCATGTAGAAGAATCTGCCGACGAGCTGGTCGAGGCCACTGAGGAGCCTATGGAAGAGTTCGAGGAAGAGTTCGAAGAAAAGCTCAGAAACGACCCCGAGGAAGAACCTGCTGATGAGCCCGTCGAGCCTACGGAGGAGCCCATGAAGGAGCCTAACGACGAGCCTATGGAGGAGCCTATGGAGGAGCCTATGGAGGAGCCTATGGAGGAGCCTATGGAGGAGCCTATGGAGGAGCCTATGGAGGAATACGCAGAGGCAACAGCTGAAGAATTTGCTGTTGAGCCGACGGAGCATATCGATGAGCTTGTTAAGGAACCCATGGGAGAATTTGCCGAGGAGTCAGTGGAGCCACCCATGGAGGAGACCGAGGAGTCTGTCGAAGGAGAAGCGACAGAGCCTACCGAGGAACCCTGTGAATCTCCCGTCAAAGAGCTCGTTACCGAGCCTGACGTTGAACTTGTCAGAGAATCCGAGGCTGAGCAGACTCACTCAACGGGTGAAGATGAGGAGATTGGTGAGAACAGGGATCAGAACGAGCCTCAGGAACATACCACCGAATACGCTGAAGATGGCCAAGAGCTTGATGCTGAGGTTCCTTCCCCCGAAACTAGAGAGGACACCGTGGAAATGGAAGACATTTCCGCTTCGCAGCCCGAGAAGGACCTGAGCCCAGCAAAGCACAGTGAGACGCGTGAACCCATACTTGAAGACGAGACTTCAGTCGGACATGACCAGGAAAATGCCGAGCAGCCCGATCACGAGGCAGAAGAGCAGACTGAATCAGCAAACCCGGCAACTGAGAATGCTCCAGGTCCAGCCAACACAGGACTAAGAAGCAGCTTGGTTGAAGGCCTTGAGGATGTATTCGTCGAACACGCAGCAGCCCCCGAGCCTGTCAATGATGACCGCGATGGCTCGGAGACGGAGGACGACCCGGATATGCTGGAGGCGAGCGACGAGGAGAATGCTGCAGAAGCTTTTGACGACTTCGACGACGTGGACGACCAGTACACATTCGATGACAGCGAACCAACGCTCGTAGGCTTCGAAGCGACCGAGCGAATCCCACCCAACCTCGTTCCCATCCAGCCATACGAGGTCGAAGAAGCGGAAGATCCTTTCAGTCCTTCGCGCCAGGCTCAGAACGCCTCCAGACGCGTCCTTTCTCCTGTGCGTATCCTTGAAAGCCCTATCAGGCAAAGCCCTATCAGACGCAGCACGAGGAATGTTCCTACAGCTGCAGCAGCCATGGGCAATGGTACGCAAAATAATGTCGACCTCTCAGACCCATTCGTTGAGCACAGTCATGCAACGCCTCGTCGTAGATCCACTCGTGGACTAGTCTTCGACAACGCCCCTCGTTTCACACCACTGGCGCAACAGTTTAGACAGTGGAAGTCTAATAGCCCCGAGAAGGCGCAGGCGAGGCGCCCTCGTAGGGGAATCTTCTCTTTGGGGGGCCGCAGGAGGTCTAGCAACGTTACTAGTACCTCTGAGGTTTCATATCCTGATGTCTCCAGGCAAGCGGAAGCTTTATCGTCCGAGCCGCAAATTCCACAGCAAGAGCGGGAAGATGTCGATGCGCCTGAGGTTGCTGAACCTGAAGAGCAGGAGCCTGAAACAAATGATGAGCCAGCCCACGAGGAGACTCCAATGCCTGTTTCGCCTGTTTCGCCTGCGCCGCAGGAACAGAGCGAGGTCGTCGATGTGTCTGAGTACAATGAGGATCAGGAGCAGGAAGCGGAACCAATGGCCGAGGAGCCAAATCAACCTTCATCAGCCGAGTTGCCGACTCCGCAAGAAGATTTGAATGATTTTGATATGACTCAACCTGAGGAGCAAGATCAGGATCCGGAACCAGTCGGTGATGGGCCAAGCCCCGAGAAGGCTTCATGGCCCAACTCGCCTATTCTGGAGGAAGACAGCAATGATGCCGATATGCCTGCTATTTATGAGGACGAGCCGTCACAGCCCATTGGCGACATGCCCAGCCAAGTGGAGGCTTCGTCGGCTGAACCTGACACTTTGCAGGAAACTGACAAGCATACTGACATCCCCCAAATCTACGAAGATGAAGATCAGGGTTCACAACTAGCTGGCGATACTGAGACCCTCGAAGAGCCGTGGGAGCAGCCCGCAGAGGTAGTTGAGAGCAGCCAGGAGGCTGTGACCGATGCATGCGAGGATAAGGAGAACATGTACGCAGTGCCGTCAGTGCCTGACAATCTCGCTTCTGAGGCGCAGCCAGGGAAGGAAAGAGAGCTCGAGGATATTCCTGTTCTTGCACCTTCTACACCAGTGAAGAACAGAATTCCTGAGATGCAGACTGTACACACGGTTTCTAAGGTTCCACTCAAGCCCGAAGGCCAAATATCACCGTTGAAGATGTCGCGCAAGCGGGGTCTTTCGCTCTCTGCCTCTTCCCCAGGGCGGTCCTCCAGACCCCGCATGTCGATTGCACCCATCGCGCAGAATGCGCCCCAGCTCTCACCTCGCAAATCGCCCCGACTACAAAGAACCGTTGCGCGCCAGTCACTCGGTCAATCGCATACTCCTGATACAGCTAAGAAACATGTCGAGGCTCAAAGGCCTGCACCGCCCAAGCGGCCCTCGTACTCTCCCAGCCCTAAGAAGAAAACGAAAACGCCTCGCACGAGCATCACCGCTCCTAAGCTCGCCCTACAGGGTTCTGTTGTATATGTTGATGTGCACACAACCGAGGGAGAGGACGCCAGTGGCATTTTCATTGAGCTTCTGCAGCAAATGGGAGCCCGATGCGTGAAGAACTGGTCGTGGAACCCTCGCGCCAGTGTATCTCCGGAGGAGGGAACAGAGCCCAAGGAGGGCAAAGTGGGAATCACCCATGTCGTCTACAAGGATGGAGGTGTTCGAACTCTGGAGAAGGTCCGACATGCCAGAGGCCTTGTCAAATGTGTTGGAGTTGGCTGGGTCCTTGAGTAAGTTTTTCACCATCTACGATAAATGCACGGTACTAACAGTGGACAGCTGCGAACGCGAGAACAAATGGCTCGATGAGGCGCACTACGAAGTCGATCTGTCTATTATTCCCCGTGGTGGTGCGAAGCGTCGCAAGAGCATGGAACCACGCGCTTTGAGCAACGTCAACGGCACTCTCGTCAAGACCGACGCAGCGAGTGCATCTGCAAACCGCAGACGGTCCAGCCTTGCCCCTCCCAAAGAATCCACCCCCAGAGATGCGACACCCTCTTCGCGTGATGAACCATCTACCCCCCACGCCACTCCTAAGATTGGCGCCGGTCACACGGAAGCAGACCAGCGGTACTGCCACACGCCCAAGACCCCGGGCTACACCTTTGACATGGATGCCATTGGCATGTCACCGGCCACACCATTCTACCTGTCGCAGCGGACGAAACTCGTGCAACAGACCTGTCCTCCGAAGCAGACCCGGCAAGGGCTCTTTACAACGCCGGCTGCGGCGCGCGAGCCAAACCAGAAGCTGCGGGCCAAACTGGAGGCGGCCAGACGAAAAAGTCTGGCGTATAAGCCACGAGTGGGGAGCCCCCTTGTTGAGTAGATCTTTGGTTAATTTTATTCCGCTCTGGATTGGTCTACTTTTGTGCATGAAATTCTGGTTACTGGATAATTGTTTATGGTTATGGTTATACTACATACCCCTTTGTTGTCTAGTGGCGTCTGGTTGGATTATAGTATTGGAAATTCATTTCATATTCATACAACATACCTCCACGTGTTTCACAGATTCATACTTCATTATCATTATATTAAGGATATGGTATGTAGACACGAGACCAGCTCAACTGTTAACCCACCACTCCAGTAAATGCAGTCATACTCACAGACTCGGGCCAACAGAGACAAAGGCTCTCATCGCCTCCACCACATTCCCATCATGCAACCTCAACAACTCGGTCGCAGTGCTCTTATTCAATTCCAACTCCTCGATCTTCCCCACCATCCCAATTAGCCTTCGCCCCAATTGCTCTGTAAGGTATTGACATACCAAAAGATTCACATCCTCCACCGTCACCTTAACCGCCTTCTTCTTAGTCGCTTCTACCGGAACCCTCTTCTGCGCCTCTGCCGGCTTCTGCACCCCACCACGACCACCAGCACCACCACTTTGTCCCGAGGCTATCTCCAAGCGACTCATTGCCTGGCCCAAGGCCTCTTGGTCTGCAGCGGAAGGAGTGGAGGCGGACTTGGGGGTGTCGGGGGCGATGTGGCTGGGGTTGAGGGCGGAGAGGGCGGCAGCGGCTTTGCGGTCTTCGGCGTTGGTGGGGTGGTGGTGTTGTTGGTGTTGATGTTGCTCATCATCATGGGCGGAAGGGATGGAGTCGGACATGGTGGTTGATTGATTGATCGATTGATTAATGCAAGATAGATGGGTTTGAAATCGGACTGTCAGTAGTTAGTCAGGTCGGAGGCAAAACAATGAAGATAACCCAGCTACGTTAAGTTAACTCTGGTCGATACCGAGAACACATGACGTCGGAGTCCCTGGCAAAAGACAAGAGAGCAAATTGCCTGTCCGGGTTAGCGGGACAAGCGTGACTCAAAAGAGTTCAAATCCGCGAATAACCGATTTTCTTTTTTTTTTTTTTCTTGTGCATTGAATTAAATTTAATTGAAAGTGTAACGTGTTTGTTGTCTTTTCTTTGATTCCTCATCTTGGTTTCTTCTTCTTCTCCTTCTTCTTCTACTACTCCCATCAGATTATTCCCTTCTTTTCTTTTCCTTGCTTCGTTGCAGTCATTCATTCAAAGAGCGGTGGGGAATCACATCCACTCTTGACAGCGCCCTAGCGTCGATCACTACTACTCGCTGCCTCCACCGACTCTCTCACAATGGCGGAGTCAGAATGGTCCCCTAGCTGTGTGTATACCCTTTGTCTTCATTCGTCTGGGAAGCGCAAGTAATGTGATGACTGACTCATATTAGCCTGGGCCTCGAAGCCCATCAAGCAGGATGTCGTTTATGACGATGCGGCGGGCGTACAAGCCGCACTGGCGAAGCTGCAGAAGCTCCCGCCGTTGGTTACGACTCAGGAGGTGCGATCATATCGCTCGGCTGAGAGCTGAACAGACAAATTGATATTGTTATAGGTGAATGATTTGAAGAAGAGCTTGAAGAATGTTGCGCTAGGAAAGGCCTTTGTGCTTCAGGGTGGTGAGTACACGGATTTAGATTCCGCATTATGACTGATACTGGTACTGGTACTGATGCTGTGCAAGGCGACTGCGCGGAGCTGTTCGATTACTGCAATATGGATATGATTGAAGCCAAGGTGAAGCTGCTTCTTCAGATGAGTTTGGTATTGATTTGGGGTAAGTCTCCTTTCTATCATAACAAGGAACCGTGCTAATATCGCCCAGGAGCAAACAAGCCTGTCGTCCGTATCGCCCGAATTGCGGGTCAATTCGCCAAGTGAGTTTTCATTCACTTTTACATAAACAGCAATGCCTCTAATAACGAATAGGCCCCGCTCCAGCCCAATGGAAACCATCGACGGCGTCGAAATGCCCTCCTTCCGCGGCGACAACATCAACGGCTTCGACGCCACCCCCGAGTCCCGCAAACCAGACCCCTCCCGGCTGGTCTCAGCCTACTTCCACTCCGCCGCGACACTCAACTACATGCGCGCCTCTCTCTCCTCAGGTCTCGCCGACCTGCACTCCCCTCTCGACTGGGGTCTCGGGCACGTCATCACCCCCTCCATCCGGGAGAAATACACCCGGATTGTCAATCGCGTCAAAGACGCCCTGCGATTCATGCAAACCGTAGGCATCGACACTGACCGCGGCGTCGAGACCGTCGACATCTACACAAGCCACGAGGGACTCCTCCTCGAATACGAACAAAGCCTCCTCCGACACCTCAAGAACCCCGACTCTCCCAGCACCACCCATTCCTACTACGCCACCTCCTCGCACTTCCTCTGGATCGGCGACCGCACACGCCAACTCAACGGCGCACACGTCGAATTCTTCCGAGGCATCGCCAACCCCATTGGCATCAAAATCGGCCCCAGTATGACGCCCGCGGAACTAACCTCCCTCCTGGATATCGTCAACCCAGCCCGCGAGATCGGCAAGGTGACCCTCATATCGCGCTACGGCGCAGCCAAGATCTCACAATACCTCCCCGCTCATATCGCCGCCGTACAAGCCTCGGGACATATTCCCGTGTGGCAATGCGACCCCATGCACGGCAACACGCAGGCGACGCCGTCAGGAGTGAAGACGCGGCATTTCAGTGATATCTTGTCCGAGCTGAAGCAGGCGCTGGAGATACATCGTGCGGCGGGGTCGTTCTTGGGTGGAATGCATCTGGAGTTGACGGGCGAGGCGGTGACGGAGTGTGTGGGTGGTGCTGGAGGGTTGACAGAGGAGGGCCTGAGTGAGCGGTATACGACGTTCTGTGATCCCAGGTTGAACGAGAAGCAGGCGTTGGAGTTGGCATTTTTGGTGGCGGGATTTTATAGGGAGTTGGATGAGGAGTTGGCGGAGGATGAATCTATATAACCCACACCCTTTTTTTTTTGGAGTGGTAAAATGGTATGGATAGTAAGAGTAAGCTCTTTATGAAATCAATATAATGTTTCGGGTTATAAGCCATCTAGTATACCTTTATTATAGGGTATCTCTTGAGGAAGGACTCATGATGCATTTGTTCGAGTGATATTATCTATCTACCCAACTTTCCAGTTTGATCTCCATACTATCTCTACTTCAAACTTGTAACGAACAGACTAGTAATCATGAAAAACATATTCATAATCAATAAAGGCCGTCTCGTCTATCATAACCCATCCCAACCCTTCCATCCACCCATCCATATACACACCATATCTATATGCATACCATCTATGTACACAAACCCACTCATCCCCTACCCACCCCAACCTCCATCCCAGTCCCTCCTACTTACTTACTAGAAGACTTCTTCCTCTCAATCCCCTTCCCTTCCCAAATAAACCACAACACCACCCACCCCAGCACCGCCTCCACCGCAAGTCCCCACCAAACACCCCCCACAAAATTCTCCCTCAACCCCTCTCCCAACCCCCACCCCCCAAGGAACGGGCCCAACGTCCTCGCCGCAGACGAAATACTCTGCGACACGCCATTAATCGTCCCCAACACCTTCGCATCCGACACACTATTATTCACCAGAATCACCGCCGCCGGCAGCGCAAACGTCCTCGACACGACCTGCAGCGCTATCACCACGGTAAATGCAGGCCAGACGATGTATGCTGCTCTCGGCAGGAGTAAGAGGAAGGGCATGAGGGCGTACGCCAACGAGGAGAAGGGTAAGAAGGTGCGGAAGGATCGCAATGTACCCAGATACCCTTGCACCCAGGGGTAGATGAATATCTGCAACGGGAGGCCGATGATTCCGATAATGGCCGTGGCGAGACCGACGCGGGAAGAGGGGAGCCCGAGACCGCCGGAGAAGTGGAACCAGCCACGATGGGATTCCGGGGGCGCGCGGGGCGTGGGCAGGAAGGTGAAGGTGATGGCGTTGAAGGCTGAGGTGTGGAAGGCGAGGAGGAATTGGGCCAACAGGGTGAGGAGGACGTTGCGGGTGTAGATTTCGCGGAATTTGGGACGTTGATGGGTCTTTGGTTTGGGGCGCGAGGAGCGGCTGCTGATGCTGATGCTGCGTCGGTGGTGGTGGGAGGTGTTGTCGTCGATGTAGAGGGATTCGTCGTCCGGGTGTTCAGTTAGGCGTTGGTAGTATTTACCGTCTCTGTTTCTGGTTCGGCGGAGGGCGCGCGCGATGCGGCGGCCCAGTTGGCGACCCCAGTCGCTGCGGTAGCGGGCTGTTTCGTGGGTCTGGTGTGGTTATTGTTAGTCTGATGGCTGATAAGTTGGAGAGGGAAGTAGTTAGATATGGGGGATGTACCTCGTCCAAGCCAAAGAATACCGCCAGCAACGAGCAGAAGATAAACACCGCACTGAGCAGGTTCGGCATCAGGAACGGCCATTTGCGCATCCACTCGACCCCATTCGCACCACCCAGGAATGTGCCTGGCCCGAAAATCTGGGGATAGTTCTTCACCGGATCAGCTAAGGCACCACCCAGCACTGGGCCTATGATGACGCCGATGTTAAAGCACATGGGCAGCAAAAGGAACGCCCGAGATTGATACCTGCGTTATTCTGGTGTCAGCAACACACATCCTCTCTTCACAAAAGGATACAGGGGATAAGCATACTTCTTCTCCTCAATAATCTCCGCAATCATCGTCCTCATCACACCCACATTGCTATTCAACACACCCCCCAGCGTGCGAAACACCGCAGCAGCCAAAAACGACCGCGAAAACCCAAACCCCAAGCACGAGAGACACGTCCCCAGCGACCCGATCAGCAACACTCTCTTCCTCCCCATCCACTCCGCATCAGCTAGCCGTCCCCACCACACAGCCGTCAGGAACTGCGCCGCCGTGAAACTCCCCTGCAGGATGCCTGCCTGCCCGGAGATGGTCGAGTCTGGTAATGACGGATCAAACGATTTGAGCTGGTAGAACATGTACGCTTGCAGAGAGGTCTGGGTGAGTGGTTCCGATAAACGGGCGATGGTCAGGATGGCGAGTTGGCTCTTTTTCGGTAGTGAGGACCATGTTACGGGCTTTTCGTCGGCTGTGTCGTTGTGGTTGGGATCGTCCTCATTCGCAATCAGAATGTTGTCTTCCTCGTCATCGCTGGAGCTGAAGCTGTCACTGTCGCTGTCGCTGAAGCTGCTCTCGTCATCATCGCTACTGTTGGCGACGAGATGATCATCTACTGATAAGCGCCGCGACTGGGAGGATTCGGGAATAAGTGCCGGCGCAAGTATACGAGTCTGCGCAGAGCTGCCGTCATGGATGGCGGTGTTGACGCTGTCTTTGTCGCCGTCGATGGAGGAGTCGACCGACATGGCGGGCGAGAGAAATTGGGTATCCGGATTTCTGCGGAGATGTGAGGCGTCGGCCTCGGGCGCGGATATTGTTGCAGTAGTATCTACATGATTGTCGGTGTGGGAACTCCGGATCTCGGGTGGTTGTGTGGAGGTCATATATAGATCTGGTCGTGAAGAACAGGGGAACAGTCTGGGGAAACTTCCAGGTACTTCAAAGTTAAGATTCAGCCGGAGGGGATAAAATCTACGGAAAAAGAAAGGGTGGGAACAAAATCTGGGGAGAAGAAGGCAGTGGATAAGAAGAAAGCCGAAGAGGCGATGAGCCAAAGATTCGCCCGAAGCTTGTCATCCCCGCTAAACCTGCCTCGGGTTTAGTCGCCGCGAGTTTGCCGATGCCTGATTCTGTATAGACCAGAATGCGACATGCATCATTCTCCATTCTTTACTTCCTGCACTGTGTAACACGGCGTCCCTTACATGGCTAGGTACCCCCTACTCAGTTAAACGAACATTGCATGTACGCCAGTATTGACTCATCTGTGCTACTGTTCTAAACAAATCCTTATCCAATCCCATCCCATACAGACAATAATCAATTCAACAAGGCTAGGCACCCCCTGCATCCCATTGAGAACGCCGTATCCAACACTATTAAGGACAAAGAAAGAAGAAAAGAAGGAGGATAAAAAGAGAGAGAAGGGGCAAGTCGGGTCGTTTTCCTGTCGCGAGATCAATGCCTGGACGGAGATCTTATTCAGTCCGTCGACGTCCAAGACCAACCTCAAGCAACAGGCACGTGAACAAGTCCGAGGACTCTCAGAGATAGTCACACGCCACACGCACGGCGGACATTTCCTCAAAATTCAACTCAAAGACCCAGCGCATCATCACGTTCTCAAGAACCAGGGACATACACCAAAGTCAGTCGGAAACCTGATCCGAAAACATTACTTTTGCACGAGACTAGGAGAGTGGGAGAGAATTAAAAAGAAAAGAGAAGGGGAATAGAGAAAAGTACACAGTTAGAAACAGACATGCTCAAGACCATTGTAACAAATCAAGGAAACATAAAGAGGGAAAGCTCAAAGGCCGTGTGGTATTCAACTAGTTGCGACGGCTCCCACCAGTCCTGCCCGTCATCTCCAGCGTACTTTCAAATCCCTCCCAAGGGAGCTCATCGTCGTCTTCCGAGTCCGGTTCCTTGCGAGACGACTTGTCCGTGGTGGCAGTGACATCTGCTGTCCGCCCTGCTGTATCAATTCCGATCGACTGAAGAGTCACCTCCATCTCCTGCTCGGTCATCTCACGGCCATTCTGCTTCTGGCCTTCAAGGACATCGTACAGTGCATAGATCTGGTCGGCCTTCATGTCGATATCCTTCAACAGCTTCTCGATCTTCTCACCCAGAGACTTCCTCTTTCGCTTGCTCAGCGAGGCATCCAGCTTGTTGTATGAGCCCTGGTATGCCACCAGCTGCATCTTCAGATGAGCCAGCTCATCTTCCAAGGCCTTGAGCACGGTCGCCAGGGCAAGTTCCGGCGATTGCGCGGGCCGCATGGTAGGCTCCTCATTGTAAACAGACGGCTCGGGCATACGCTCCGAGACTGGAACGGGCTTGGGAATCTTCACTGCCTCTGCGGTGTGATCACAAGAACCACCCGGAATCGTCTGCTTGCAGACCGTGCAGTTTTTGCCATTGTGCTTGGTGGCACTGTCAAGTGCACGCTGAGCGGGTTCAGGAAGCTTTGCAAGGTTGTTATCCACCACATGCGCAGGGTTGAATGTGATATCAGGCAGGATAAAGGCCGAAGTCATCTCTTCGGCCATCCGCCGCCGGCGTCGCTGAGAAGCAGCGGGCACGGAGTTGTCCGAATGCCGTCTGGGGCGTTCGACAGGCACCGACAAGTTACTTTCTCCCTCAGTCATGCTAGCCTTGGAGTTGGCGGTCAAGTCGCCCATGGCCGAGGCGGGTCTAGACGGCAACCCCTTGCTTTCCTTGAGGGAAGACTTTCTGGGAATCGTAGACTTGGACAAGCTCTGCCGGGTCGTGTTCCCGGTCTCGTTTGCAGTCTGCTCTTTGCTTGTACTCGACTGCCGCCGTTTCCGAGCCAGGCGTTCCTCTTCCAGAGTCTTTCGTAGTTGAGCAATTTCACGTTCCTGGAACTGGAGTAAGTACGTGTATGTGGTGAAACATGGACGGCAACTTACATCAACGAAGCTCAACAGAGTCAAGTCCTGCTCTGTTGCATTTGATTTCTTGGTGTTTCCAGTAATCTCCCCACTCGACTCAACAGGCTCCGTCTCCTCCACCTCCTCGACAACTACTCTTTTGACGCGCTGTTTGCCAGTGTTTGACTGCTTCCTGGTGCTCACATCACTGCTCTCCGACCGGCTCTTGGATTTTCCTGATTTTGACTTCGACTTCTCCCTGGTGCGGGGGACGTCGATCGAAAATAGTGCCTCTTCTGCACGCTCCTGTTCAAGCCGGGATATTTCCTTGTCAACCTGCGTCGAGATCTTGGCGCGCGAGTCCTCCTGTCGTCTAGTCTTGGATCGCGAGCTCTTGCCGGTCACTTCCCTGGTGCTTCGGCTCGTATGTCTGCTATGCTGCGTATCAGCCTGGCTATCCTCGTCGCTTGCATCAGTCATAGAAGACTGCTCTGACTCGACCGTATCGTCACGGGCTCTGGAGCCCGCGGACAGGATCTTTGATATCTGCGACTTCAAGTCTGCATTCTCCTGGCGCAGACTCTCGTTCTCGCTCTTGAGGTCCTGACTTTCCAAATACGCAACCCCCAACTGTGAGACCGCCATGTCTCGCTCTCGGTTCAGCCGTTTCAAAGTCGACTCCTGAATCTGGGCCTTTCTTTCGATAATGTCGAGTTTATTCTGCAAAGCCAAGTTGGCGGCATCCAGTTCTGGCATACGAAGTCAGTTGAGTGTCGCGGAAAAATAGTATAAAAGTACTTACTTTGGTTATCGCTGGCAAGCTGATCTCTGCGGTAGTCATCCTCCTCGGATTCGTACGGTCGGCTGCGACCATGCTTGTCCTTTGAGCGTGACTTGTTTGTCCTCAAAGACTCATTCTCCCGCTTCATGTCATCCAACCTCCGTTCAGCGTCAGACTTGGATCTCTCCAATTCTGCAACCTTGTCCTGCAAAAGTCTCAATGAAACGAAGAGTGCCTTCTCATCTTCCGGAATGGGGACGGCATCTAGCGGCATGTGTTCGCGGGTCAACGAAACATCAGTAGCATCATGTGGAGGGGAGACAAAGCGCGTCGTCCGTGCTCTGTTCTGACGCGCATACACGGGTGTGCCGTCTTCATAGACGCCCGAGACCAACTCAGACAAGTTCGGAAGATCCGGTAGTAGGAATGACTGCTGAGTAGCCGTATCACCCGCATTGTGGGCCATGTTGCGCGAGTTGGTGCTAGACTTTCCACGACGAAGTTCGCGAGCATAAGCCTCCTGGGAAGCCTTCTCCACCGCATCGGCAATCTGATGAGAGAGGTTGGGGTTTCCAAAACGTGTCGGACGCGTACTGTTGGCCATAGCCGGAGGTCTTTCGTCCTCAATCAGGGATCCTTCATATGTATCGCGAACCTTTGCGTGCATGTCTGACAAAGTTCGTCGCTCTTTGCGGTTCGACTTGGCTGTGTGAGGATCAACGTTCTCCTTATGGGCAAGGCTGGCGCGTCTGATTTGCGCATCCTTTCGGAGACTATCGCTGACCGCTCTTCTCGCCGGGTTCCGCAGAGCGGACTTTTGAGGGGTATTAGAAGTAGGATAATCGAGTCTAACGGCGGGTGACGACGAGCGAACGCTGTTTTCGATGCTCATGTAGGAGTTTCTCGAGTCGTCCAGTCGACGGGGAGGTTTCGTCGGGCCTCGTCCGGCCTCGATGGAGATGCTGTCGTCGTTGTCGGCCTCTTCTTCTTCTTCGGACGTGCCGACCGGGGAGAAATCTGGTAAATATTGCTCGAAGGTGGATGTGTTGAAAGCGTAATCGGGCTCTTCTTCCTCGTACTCGTGGCGCTTCCGGGCGTTGGTGTGCATGGACGGAAGCCGGGGGCTACCATGACCGAGCTCCTTGGTGGACGCGAGCGCCTCGTGCTCAGGGTCAAAGTCGGAGCCAAATGACGCGAAGCTGTTCGTTGTTGCTTCGCGCGACATGTTGCCAGCTGATCTGTGACGCGCCGATATGGGGATGATTTATCGACGGAGTGAAAATCTGATTACCGCACAGGTATCAGATGGTTAAGCTGACTGAATCAGCAAAGTAAACTTGAAGGTAACCCGTTCGTTGTTCTGAGGCTGCAAGCTGCACGGTGGACAGTCAGATGTTTAGAGGGTCGCTGGTAGCGCGTCGGTGCAGCGCGAGTCTCCCGGCTTGAGCAGGAAGTAGCCAGGGAAACCACAACTGAAAGGAAGGAAACAGTGCAATTGCTTAGACAAGACAAGCCACTGCGGTTTCCAAACTATCGCAGAAGCACCACAATTGCACGGTAAGGCCTGGCTAACCGGCTAGACAACGCAATGGGGACGCGAGTGGATGATGCGACGAAATAAATGAGGAGGTTGGGCTGGTAACAAAGTTACTACGTCCTCGACTAAGTGGAACTCGCCCGCTGCTTTTGGTTTGTTTACTCCCGTGGGCCCCCCTCCCGTGGAGCGGCTGACCGCCTTCCGAGTGCTTACGCCACGAGCTGTGAAATTTCCCATCCGGACCGAGTACATAGTAAACAGCAAATTCCTGAATCTTATTCTAAACAGCAGTTTCGCACATCGCCAATGAAGGTTTTGCATTGGAATTTTCCATCTTATGCTGGAGCGTATAGTATGTGCAGACAGGATCCAAGAAACACAGTGCCCCCTTCTCTAAATGTACAGGCAGACTGGTGTGGGCTGGGAGTAAACAAGATGTGCCGTCCATAGATTCGCCTTCAATCAAACGCCTTGCTGGGAAACAGAATGTCCAGGGGAAAGAAAACTATTGACAGGAGTCGGAGAGGAATTAAAACAACCTATATGCTAGTATGTAGGGTCGTAAACGCTTATGCTCGTAACGGGTATTGGAATGCGAGGTCGGAAGGGGCAAGGGATGGCAGCCGTAAACGTAGACCAGTTTGTCAGGTCTTCTAGTTATTAGGAAGGAATATCGATGATAGAGAAATCAAGAGGACTGGTGACTATGAGTGTCATCCCTCAAGAGGTGGGTTTCGGCTGATTGAGAAGCAGGGTGTTCTTCTCCGGCATGTTCCTCGCTGATAGGTTGATTAGCGGTGGTATGCTGTTCGGTGGATTGTTGCTCTTCCCGCTCCTCTTCTCGCAGAGGATTCGTGGGCGTAGTGGGAGTGTTGCTTATAGGGCTGGCCACGTCGATATGGATGGTGGGCAGAGGGGTCAATTCACGGAGCTGCGGCGCATGCTCGTTTCTCTCTGCGACTGGGCTCGTATACGGTGGCGCTTCTCCCCATTCCAAGACTTCGTACTCAGGCGGCGGGATGTTGAGTTCACCTACATCACCCTCGTCAACCGCTATTGACGGGCGATCAGCCGAATGAGCAGACGCTGCATGTGATTGCACCTGAGTTAGAGTATCTGCGTCCGAAACGTTGGTTGCCCCAGACTGATACGACGAGTAGGACTCGCCTCGAGAATGAACACCCGTGAGAATCGACCCTGAGGATCGATCGGGTGCTGATGCGTCGGTGAGAAGAGGACGACGGTCCGAATCGGGTGACGTGGCTCTGATACGAGACCCATCATGCCGCACGTGGCCCAGTTCTGCATACGAGACACTGGAGATACGCCTGTCGCGACCACGATTCCGAGATTCCGCCAAAGCCGCGCTGAGGTTTGAGGCACTCCCGTTGGCAGACGCGCTACTTCTCGCGCGGGCTCGACTCTCCTGCCGAAGTTCTTCAAGACGAATATAGTCCCCGCGAGCACGAGCCTCTCGGCGCTCCTGTCGCCGCCATTCACGGTCGGCCAGCTCCTCTCGCCGTTGCAAGCGGATTTGATACAACGACTCCATCAATTCTTCTCGGCGGGATTCCTCTTCTTCCGCTGTTTCAGGGAACTCGACAACCATATCCATGCCTGCTCGCTCCCCTTCTCGAGCAATGACCTGCTCCGTTGGCTTGGGACTGGGCGAGTAGGCGGGGAGGGTGATGACCGAGCGAACCGATGTATCCCGTCGAACATTGCTAGTGTTATTGGCGGCGGGGGTGGTAGATCGCATTTCCGAACCTCCTTCGGCGGGTGTGTCTCTGGTGGTGTTCGCATTTTGATTATTCGACCCCGGGACCTGTCCGTATGAGACGCCCACGTTCCACCTATTCCATTTGTCCTTCAGGAATTTCCCAGGCAGATATTTCGGGCGACAATTCATGCGACGGAGGGTACGTAAGACGAAATAGGTCATTAAAGCGGACGCCACGGCGAAGATGATGCAAGCGACGCACTGCAATTAGAGGGAAAAGATGTATTAGTGATTGCTGGAAAAGGGAAGAACGAAGACACTCACTATTATAATGATATTGTTCCTGCTCGAGTTATCATTGCCGGAGGCGTGGTTTTCATCCTGGCTGCCATCGGTGTTATTGTTGTTGTTGGGATTGTTAATAATGTTGCCCGGACCATCCTGACGGATGTCAAATTGGCGGAAGTTGGCTGGAATGTGCATGCTGTGGATTCCGGGCGATCGGGAATGAGCCCAGATCTATAGCCCCTAAGCATGCAGACCGGCTAGAAAGTCGACGATAGGAGGTGTTATCCCAGGCGAAAAGAGGGTGGAAAACCCGGATCGGAGGCGAACTGGAAATGGTAGCCTAACCGGGAACGCTGCGGAACTGGCGGATGAATAGCGAAGGTTTGTATTCGGTGGTATGAATAGAAAAAAAGCAAGATAGGCTGCAGAAGTGGCCCGAGGAAGATTTGATAAGATATTACGAATCAGACCATAGACTGGGACAGAGTTCAACAAGAATAGCTAGAGATAGAGCCAGTGATAATGGATAGGATGGTAGATTATGGACGAGAAGAGACATGCGCGAATCCATGGCCTCAAGCTGTGATGGCTGGGAGAAAGGACCAGGAAAGAATACGAGCAGGACCGCGGCAAGATTTCAGCGGCTAACTGGTGTCAGAGAATGACGATGCTCATCATTCCAAGACAAGCCTGCAAGCGGTCGTCGAATGGCAAGAGGGGAAGGCCAGAGATTGGCGCTGATTGACTGGTGATGATGCTGATGCTGATGCCGACGAGGGAGTGGCTGGGTCGCTGGCGGAGATAAAATAGCGAATGGATTTTTCCCCAGCCAGCAGAAGTGACTGATCAGAAGTACGACCCTTGGACGCTTCCAGACTCAGGAGGTCAATTTGATCGTGACACGACACGACTACGCATCAACAGAGACTGTATACAAATTAAAAAGGACTCCATCGCACCCTCCCGACTAATTAAAGACGATTTCATTGTGAAACGAGAGGCGCAATCCAATTGATGCTGCCGGTTTTTCCTTTCCGAACCACCGGCGCGTGCCATTTTTAGAACACGTTCCTTCGCTGGTGATTTTCTGGTTGGGTGTCGAATCAGGGTTTGGGATTTCTCTCAGTTGATCTGCTCCAGACATCTCTCTATCTAGCTTTAAGTTCAGTCAGTTTATTGCCCAAGGAAAATTAAGCTCACTTATCATGGCCAGGGCCACTGAGCACCTCCAGGGATGGGGCTGCCACTACCCCATCGGAAGAAAGTCCTCCCGGGTCATTATTACTTTGGAGACTAGTTACAAAGTAGTATATTATGGAGTCTCCTCCTTAATCCTGACCCACTTCTCATCTACACAGTAGAGATGTAGTCTAGATAGCTGATCTCGCTATCAAAGCAACAAACTTCCTGTTATTGCTCATTATCCCGAAAGCACGACGGTTCCTTCAGCGGGAAATACAATCTATGCTTCTGCGAAGGAGAAGCACAACATTCTTCGTCGACTGTCTTACTATGAGAAACGGAATTAATTCTTTGCTGATCTCAATGCACACTGAGCTGAATCAAAGGTGTTGTCGCACATCACCTTAACTTAATCTCTATACCTGTCAGATGCCAAATGTTGAAGTCTGGCTATACGGTAGCTTCAACGTCCGCATCACCGTCACTGCTAGCACTCGGTGCAAAGCCATGTATCCTTTATTTCCCATACAGAATTGGTGACAATTCATGCCGGGTAACGGAGGTGAGAAATTTACCTGCGAGGCAGGACCTATGAATGGCTCCAAGAGTACTGTCTGGACGTATCAATCCCGGACTTATATGGGTTTGGCCTCTCATCTGGTCCACCAGAGAGGGAACCTACAAATTAGCTCTTTAGCAAACCGGCTGCTTTCAATTGAAACCCAACAGTTCGAAAGGAACGATACCGACTAGCATACATCGTGGTACTCATTGGTTGAGTTGTATGCCAGACGATCTCAATTCCATGAAAATCGTTTTATTTTCAATACACGCAGTCCACGACCTTGGAGACTGTGTTCCAACGAGCCTCACTCTCTGTGGTGAAAACAATATCGAAATAAGTCTTCGAGAAGGAGTTGGTCGGGGGCTTTTTGTTATCCCTCCAAAAGACCTTCATTAGAGCAGCATGCTTCTTGCTTATGACTGGAATGTAACTCGTCTGGTGGACTTGAGGTGGGCCTGCTCTGTGCCAATTAAGATAAATAGAGCCTTCTATTGGCTTGAATGTTTTGGCGTCGATCAACTAGTACTAAGTGCCATCTGAGTACGAAAAGTTCGGAGATAATTCATGGACGCCCTAAAGTCCGAGTAGATTGCAATGACGGCATCGAAGCAGAGCTCGCTGCTACTCTCGGACATCATGAATAGCATGTGAGCAAAAGGGATCATGTAGCATACATTGGCTCTCTCCGGCCCATCTATTCATCTTTCACAATCTTCCAGCGGCTTTATACGTCCGCTATTTTGCACATCTAATCTTGACGAACCTCAGATAATCATGCCTTTTCTTGGAGAAGGAATGCGGGCCGTATCGCATATCAGAAACTCTTGGAGAAGGAGGCGTAGGACAAAAGAGTTGAACAGAAGTTCAAGAGTGAGTAATTCCAGCAACGATACCTAAATACATCTCTCTTAAAGCTAACCTTGTATACCTGTACATATGCTTATCATTTCGTAGTCCAATAATCATGCAGCACGATATCAATCAACTATCCTGCCTACGAAAGCCATTTATACTTCAACAAGCCGTAAAGCCTTGTTAAAGTCTTACAATATCCGCTCAGGCCCCCAGCTACCAAATACACAAGTTATCCCGGCAACCCCAATCCAATCCTATCTCATCCCGCACCAACCATTGAATCTCGGAGCGTACGAAACTCCACCAACTCAAGGATGACCCCAACCAAGTACCCTCCATTCATAGTACCTGCACAGCCACTTCGCACCTTGAATCAGGCCACCAATTCAAGCAGTGCTAATCTATCCAATCCCATCGGAGATTATATCGGAGATAATAAATGAGCCAACCGTATCCATTCTTCCGTTCTACACACTATCCCGGACTTAACCCATTTTACCTCCGGCAATGCCGAAGCTGCCCAAGCTCACCCAGCCATGCCATGGATCCTCGAACTTAGCCTGCCACATCAACTGACAGCAAACAACATAAGCATCAGTCCCCCCGCTCTTTCCAAAGCTTATCTTTTTCGGCAGGTTGATTTTGGCCATTGTCTCACTCAACACTATCCCAGTCTTGTCAAGAAAGACCATTATAGATCGAATACTTCACCCGCTAAGTCACATAGACATATCATCATGTCCTGTCCCGACTGCTTCAGCGGCCACGTGAACGAGGACGCTACGCCCAGAGGAACAGTCACCACCTTGCATGGCCTGGATGCATATGTGACGGAGCCAACGTCCACGGAAAACCCAATCAAGGGAATCATCGTCATCATTCCGGATGCGTTTGGGTGGGAGTTTGTCAATAATCGCATCTTAGCGGATCATTATGCCGATAAGGGAGGGTATAAGGTTTATTTGCCTGAATTCATGAATGGTATGTTTACTACTTGTCGCTTGTGACTCATCAGGGGTTGGAACTATGGAAAACGGCATTGCGAAAGAGCTATACCAATATATATGTTGGATAACCAGGACATGCCGCTCCCGTATGGAGTTTGAAGACCCTATCTTCAGTATTCAAGACATCATCTATCCTGGACTGGATTAAGAAACCGTGAGTTCACCTCACCTCCGACTCTTGCTCACAGCTCATAAAGTAATCTCTACAATAAAGATACCATGTCGCCTGCGCCGCCTACGCCATGATCCCCTTCATGTACCACAACAAATTCAACACCTCCTGGCCCACCGTCAAGGCATTCTTCACCGCCGTGCGCCGCAACGAAGGCGCCAACCTCCCCATCGCAGCTGCAGGGTTCTGCTGGGGCGGGTTACACACCGTCTACCTAGCGCACGGCGAAGAAGCTGACAAAGTAAACGGCAAACCCTTGATTGATGCCGGTTTCACCGGCCATCCCAGCAACCTGAAGATCCCAGGGGATATCGAGAAGATCAAGATCCCCGTGAGCTTTGCGGTGGCGGAGCTGGACAACATGTTGAAAATGCCGCAAATCAAGCAGATTGAGAAAGCACTGGGAGAGGAAGTGGGGGAGGTGAAGGTCTACTACGGGGCTGGGCATGGGTTTTGTGTTCGCGCCGATGTGATGGTCAAGGATGTGAGGGTGCAGGCTGAGGAAGCGGAGGATCAGGCGATTGGGTGGTTTCAGAAGCAGTTTGCGAAGGTGTCTTATTGATTCCTGCTTATTCTGCATTAATTGTTGTGGGGGAGTTTTGGTTTTCTGCTCTTTCATATACCCGGTTCATCCGCATCGGAGTCCGGATCCTCAATCAAGGCCCTTAATTTCCCACCCTGCTGTCTCGCAAGCAGCTTATACTTCCCCGCCTCCACAACGCGACCCTTGTCAATCACAATTATATTATCCGCAATCTCCATCATATCCCTTGCGTGCGTAATGATCAGGACGGTAAGGCCTAGCCTTGTCGCGACCAGTCTCTGCACGGTCCTTCGAATGATCTTTGCGTTGTTGGGATCGAGGCTAGATGTGGCTTCGTCCAGGATAAGAAGCTGTGGCTGTCGGATGAGCGCCCGTGCGATTACCAGCCTTTGTGCTTGTCCTCCGGACATGCCGGTCCCGCCGTCCCCTATCATGGTGAAATAGCCTTTTGGCAGGGATGTGATGAACTCGTCGATCCCGGCTGCTTCTGCTGCGGCGCGGATGTGGAACATTGTGCGGAGAGGGGAGTCGTCTTCGAGACCGTAGCTGATGTTGTCTGCGACTGTGCCGGGGAAGATGGATGGTCGTTGGGAGACTATGGAGATTAGGGAGCGGAGGGTTGGTGTGTGTATACGTTGGATGTCGATTCCGTTGAGGGATATTGGGGGCATCCTGTCTTGGGAAGTGGGGGCTTCGTATAGGCTGAGGAGCAGTGATGCTATAGTTGATTTGCCTGAGCCTGACCGTCCTACGATTGCTGTGCATTGGTTTCGGGGTATGTTGATGGATACATCGCGCAGAACGTGTGCGTCAGGACGGGATGGATAGCGGAAGTTCAGGTTCTTGATCTTCACTGGCGCAGCTGTGGTTATCTTCAGATTGCCGCGGTGTTCGTGGGATGCGCCTTGTGGCAGGTGTGCGAGGCGTAGGACTTGGTTTGCCATTATATGGGAAACGCTGATCTGAGGGACTAGAGGGTGTTAGCAGTGGCTGTAGGTAGTCGTTGATAGGTAGGTAGCTCACTCCATGAAAGTACTGTGGTCGCGTAGCCAATGCTGAAGAGAAGGACAGAGAATACAGTCATGAGGCTGGTGACGGTAAACTCAAGCGACGATACGAGAACAGCTCCGTAGTAAAAGATTAGGCCTGCACAGTTTAGCTCTGCAAGCATAGGTTTCTCATATACCGGTTGCTTACTGCTGACGAAAATGATCATGCACTCTACTAATCCAAAGAGAAAGCCAGTATAAACAGCTTTCTTAACTCCAAGAACCATACACAGTGCTGAGGCCTTCATATGCTTCTTGTGGAAGTAAGGCTCAAGTGTCAATGTGCGGACGGTGCGGATTTGCGAGAACGTCTCGATGAATATCTCAGACGCTGTCGTTCTGACCCCGGTACAACGTCTTTCCCATATCCCGGTTGTCCTTTCGAGGCCTCTGGTGATGGCGTAAATGACTGGTCCGCAAGCCACTGCCACAAGGGTCAGTTTCCAACAAACAGCCATGCACCATATAATAGCAACCACAGTGACTGAAGTCGCCACTAGGACATAGCCACCGAAATGACCGACCAGATTTCGCATCTCCTCAGCACTGTGGTTGAGGGACGTGGTGAGTTGGGAAGGTTCATTTCCGGCTTCTTCAAACCATTTTCGTGGCTGGTCAAGAATATGATGGAAGCCTCTTTTACGGAGGCGATCAACCCACGCCTGGCCACATAGCTCTAGAAGATAATGCATCAGAAACGATATAACACCGTCACCTATGGCTATTCCCAGAACTATTAGTGACCATGTCGAGGCCTTGGCTTGCTTGTTGTAGAACGTCTCGAGGAGCTTCGACAGGCAATAAGAAAACAGCGGAGTAGCCATCGAGTGGCCCAGGGTGCTGAAACATCCAAGCAAAAGAAGCAGTTTTTGACCCCGAGTCAAGTTAGGAAGTATGGTCAGCATAATCTGTCCCAACGACATGCGTTCTTGCGGCGCGAGGTGTGCTGCATTCTTCAATAGCCGCTTGCTTCGGTGCTTCGACCTGGCCCTGTTGATCTCATTGACAACATCATTCGCAGGAAGTATACTCTGCCTAAACCGGTTGGTCTGGAAATTCGTATTATTGACATGGACAGTATTGAGCTCAAACATCTGCATCCCAATCGACTCACGACGTGGTCCGACCCTTTGAGTGTCTGCAGATTGACGAATACTCTGTAAGCTTGTTTTGTAGCCGTGAATAGCATATGAATGCTGTGCAAGCTCGTTGTGTCGAGAAAATGAATCAGGGCTTGGACTGCGTGTACTCTCGATCGAAGATTTTGAAGAAGCACTGGAGCATCGATCAGAAGCACTGTGGGCATCAGCATGCTCGCTTTCATCACGGGAGAGCTTTTTCGAGGTAGCAAAACACGTATTACTCTCCTCCAGTTCATGTCTGTAGCCAGCTTGAATAACCGAACCTTGATCCATGATGTAGGCAAAGTCATGATCCATTATTTGCGACATATCATGCGTGATAATGATCGTCGTTTTCCCTCGACGCCATTCCCGGATAGCTTTCGTTATCTCGACGCGGTTGGTGGCATCAAGTGCACTTGTAGGCTCATCCATTATCAATATAGGCGTATCCCTTAACCGTGCCCTTGCAATCGCTACCCTTTGCTTCTGACCACCACTTAGGAAATCACCACCATGACCCACACAAGTGTCGATTCCTTTGGGTAGATCGTCTATTGTGCTTTGTAACCTTGCAAGATCGATACATTCACGTACGTCCACCTTGCTGAGTCCTTCATAATTGCGGCTACCAAAGGCGACATTCATGAAAATAGACTCGTTGAATAATACACTTCGCTGCTCTAGCAGAGTAATGTTGTTCCTTACCCAGTCGATGCTCAACGACTGGATGGGGACGCCGTCTATCAGAATATCTCCAGATACCGGTAAGTAGAAGCGTGTGAGTAGCTGTCCAAGCGTACTCTTTCCAGATCCGCTTCTACCGATAACAAAGCTTGTCTCGCCGGCGGGAAAGAAGAAACTTGTCGTGTTCAAGACCGGTCTGTTCGGTTGCGCTGGATAAGCAAAGGAGACCTTATAGACACATTATAAGTTCGATGTACCAACGCAATCGTTCCACGGGTAACCATTGCACTTACATTGCTGACTTCGATGTCGCCTTCGCAAAACTTCGGATAAATGGAACCCCTCCCCTCCCCTCGAACAGCATCCTCCGACTCAGAGCTCAGGATGTGGGCCAAGGAAAGGGCTGCATCCTTTCCTTTCGCTAGGACGACAATTTGTGGCATGAGGAATTCCATTGACTGGGCAGCTGCTAAACAAGCCCAGAATGTTCGGAGCACTTCTCCTGCTGAGAGCTCTCCAGATGTAGCCAGGGAGCTCCCATACCAGAAGCCCTGGACGAACATTCCGAATGTCATCAGCCGCAATATGGATATTTGTAGAGAGGTGAAGCGTGCGCGTTTGAGATAATGTAAAGCGGCGTTGTCGACACTGATCACGAAGTTTCGCATCTCTGTATCTTGCCCGTTAAAAGACTTGACGCTGTCAATTGATGAAGTAGCATTGTCGACTATTAACGATAAATGACCCAGCTCTGTCTTCTGTGTCTCCATACACGAGTTCGTCTTGCTGGAGAGGAAGGAGAGAGCGGCTGAAAGGAAGGGGATCCCCGCCAAAGTGACCAGAGTAAGGTTCCAGGAGGTGAAAAACGCTAGGGCTAGCGAGAAGATGGCTCGAAATATATACTGCAAAGCGAGGCCGAGAGGCTGCGATGTTGCTTTCTGTAGATCATCGATCTGTCTGGAAGAGTACATTAGTGAAGGCAATGGCACGTAAGAGTGCGACATACCCCTGGAGAGAAGATAGAAAGACCCTTGTGCCATCCGGCTGCGTTTCGAACCACTCCTGACTCTTCTGTAAAAGCCTTTCGAAGAGCTTGGTGCGAGCATTGGCAACCTGCAATTCTCCGAATATCACAAATAGAATGAAATAGACACTATTGCAGACCCAATTGATTGCTCCTAGCCCAACCAGCTGGACGGCAAATGTGCTGATCTGTGGCGTCAGGTCCTGTTTTGCAATCTTTCCTCCTCCGAATAATGTGAACGTGTTGAAGATCTCGCCCAAGACTACGGAGAATATGGGAACCGAAAGACTAGAGACGGCAGTAAATGTAAATCCTCCTATGAGCACTGGGTAATGTTTCGCTGTTGTGAAGCTGAACAGCGACATCCACCTCGGCTTTCGATGGATGAAGCGCCTGGCGGCGGCAAGGAGGGCTGCCATTATGAACTATACAAGCTGACCAAGGTGGAAGATCTTCAGTTGCGCTTTTGGCCTTCGGCTTCGATAATTAAATGCCGCGTAAGGAGACATAATGGTGAGTAAGAGAAATGATGATCTAGGGCGTGATATAGAGAGGAACATAAGCAGGCGATGAACACCCAAGTCAAAAGGCTTCCAAGCACTTCTTAGCAAGTTAATGTAACAAAGAGCTACGCTCGTTTTCATATTAGTCCGTCTGGTCAGATATTAAGCATTTTCCCTATGCGGGCATATTGTAGAGGAAAAGAACAATGGGTTGCGTTGCCATTGTTCTCGGGTACACAGAAAAAATTTAGTGGGTCAACCAAGCGTCTTTCTATCCATCACTTCATTCCAAAGCATTGATTCAGCTCGGTATATGTACAGGTATCCACTCCGGTAGTAGCACCCTAGGGTACCCGGTCGAGGGGCTATCCCCACTCTTTTATAGGGTCATATACACTATGCTGGACCACCCGGATGAGACCTATGGGCCAAGGTACTAAAGGATGGCTGTCGAACCCAGTGACTCGAGTCATTGCATAGTCTCTAGACGCTTGCAAATCAAATACGGTAAAGGCCCGGGTGAACCATTCCGTCTAGCCGTCGTTCCTGCACGGCCCAGAAAAGAAGCGCAGCTTCAGATTTATTTCTTAGCCTTCTGCGCGCGCTCGTAGATCCAGTCGTTGAGACCAGCACGGTTTCTAATCCATGTATAAGTATCCAATTGCTGTCGGCGCTTATCCAAACGAAAGGACTCACCTGGCGATCTCGATGGCGTAAAACTGCATACGCATGGCTATCCTTCTGTTAGCTGGCGTTCCACCCCCCAGACAAGCCACACAGCCATGTATCACCTACCAAAGATCGTGGTATCTCTGTCGTATTCGACGTTGGGGCTAGCACGCAGCATGGTTCCGAAGTTGAAGTCCTCGATAATCTTCTCATACTGGTTGATCCAGTTACGCCACTTCTCCTTGCCCTCCTTGCTCTTCATCTTGTCCTCGTTGAGCGTCTCGGCAGGGTCAAAGTCGGGGAATTCCTTCTGGAAAGACTCAAGGATATCATCGTCCATCTTCGTCAGGCGGAGTTGCGAGCCGGGGACCTTCTCCAGAATCGACCAATATGTCATCAGATGTTCAACAGCTGCATAATCGTGAGTCATGAGAGGAGTTCGAAAAAGAGATGTCCGGACCAACCCTTAACGGCAAACTGCTTCTCCATCTGCACCAAAAGTCAGCATTCCTGGTTGGGTTTCTGAATAGGCGATCCGGGCGCAAAGGCGACATACATCCTCAAAGTTCTCCGCCGTCTCTGGATCAAAAGGCTTCGACATCTTGGCGGTTGTGTGGGCGATAAATAATAACACAAGAAGCAAACAATATCACAAGAAGAACGTAGAGGTAGAAAAGATGTTCTATTCGCTGGCTAACAGTCAGGGTAGTCGAGGAGAAATCGAAAAGTGAGTTGCCCCGCGCCCAACTCTTTTTTCCGGCAGGCGGAGAGATTTTTGCGCCGCCGCCCTTCAACCCCGCCGCTCGCGATTCGGGCCCGTACGTCATTTACAGATCTCTAAGAAAACACTACGCATTCAAGACTTTGGAGTATGTACGGTCGGGTTTATGTACATGAATGGCACGATATTTACGACATAAAATGATCTATTTCGGCCTGCGAAGCTACTCACTTTGCTATCTAGATTGCTCGCTGTCTGAGAAATGCCATGTCCGGCTAACTAATCTGCCTCTTGCCGCTTATTAATTGAATAGCAATCCACAGCGATGCTAGATCATACTGGAAAGATCCAGAATATGGAGGACGAACGCGAACGCCTCTCAATGCTCTTCCGACGGACAGACTTCAATCCAAGCAAGTGTAACGTACTGATTCCCGAACGTATGAAGTCATCAGGATCGAACAAAGAAATGAAATCTCTTATCGGCAGCGGACAGAGATTCGACTATGGTACAGGGATAAGCAATGTAAGGAAACGAAGAAGATTGTCTCTAGTCACTATCATCGGAGTCGGGCAACTCTTCAAACCGCCCTTCATGGAGGGCGCGCGTGACAGGATTTTCCACCTGGAGAATGCCGTTCGCCTTGGCTCTGTTACGAGAGTTAGCAATCACTCGAGCAAGTAGAGGAAGGGTGAGGCTTACCGCTCAAACAGCACAAATAATCTCTCTGCCTCTCTTTCCTTCTCCTCCTTGGTCATAGGAGGGCCCTCGTCCTTCTTCTCTGCGGCCCACTTCTGGCCAGTAATAGGGTTAACTTCTGGATCGAAACCGTTCGGGTTTGTTGCAAATGCTTCGCCCGCCGTCTTGGGAATTTCCATGCCGCGAGAAGCTAGTAGTCCAGCAGCGAACCCATATCCGATGTTCTTCGTAAGGTTCTCGGCGTCTTTGCCGGAGAGCACAAACATAAGCTCGGAAATAGCGGTCTTCAGATTAGGGTAGGGTGTGGTCGACAGATTGAGTAACTTCGATGAGAGAGTGTCCGATTGTCCAATGGGACGGCTCCTATCATTTTCTTCGGGCAGGAGAAGCCATTGCATATATTTACGGGGGCCGTCTGGGGCCATCTCATGAATGACCACGAGCGTATGGAACAGGGGTATAGCCTTGGTCTCCAGCTCATCAGGACCGTATGCGGACACGGCTTGATCCAGTATGTTGATCAGCTTGTCAACATTGCAGTTCTGATTGAACGTGGGGAAAAGAGGGCTACTGTCGAAGACTTTGCCCTTCTTGTTCTCCAAGTCAAGAGTGGATAGGCAGTTAAGGAGATAGCTGAGGAGGCCTTCCAGAGGCTTTGGAGGGATATCGATGCGATTGATCATCTTGAAGAGGTGAGGGATCGAAGCCGAGAATGTCGCGGCCAGATCAGAATAAATTTTTGAAACATTGAAGATGAGTTTCAAGGTATCAGTAAGGGCCAACTCGTCCATCTGCGACAGAGACTTTTTGCCGGATTTGGGGAATTGTTTAGCGTGTCGGACAATTTGCTGTATTCGATTAACATTATCATACTTATGCTTAGGCAAGATACGCATTGGCTTACATAGTTGACATTTTCACCCAGAGAGTGGTGTCTGATAAGATTGTCAAAATCCATAGTGGTGTCATAGGTAGACAGGAACAGGATCCGACTGATCACCATCTCATCCTCTGAGGAATCACACTAGCTGAAGGTCAACTTCTGCCCGAGCTGGCAGACACAGTGAATGGGCATACCTTGAGCCTCTCAGCTAATTTACCTCCGTAGCCTGTGTCCACGAAAAGCTGGCGCATCGATCCATCTAAGAGGAGGGCATTCGCGACGCAGCGTAGAGCGGCACGTCGCACATCCGGGGAATCCCCGTCAACACCATATCTGGCTAATAATTCAATCCCCTCTTTAGAGTAGATAGGATAGGCATGATTGGGGTTAGTCCCGTGTTGCCTCAACTCCAGGAGTGTCTGCACGCGTTCTAAGGCACGCAGGTGACGAGGTCAGATCGATACAGTTTACATTCCCTGTTAACTTACCCTTCGAAGTGAGAGACTTCGCCTCGAGGTCCGTTTTGAGAGAGTCCAGTAATTTAGTGACTCGCTGCAACTTCTCTAGGAGCTTGTTAATTGCAATCCATACAATGAAGTGGCTTGCACATACCTTGGCCTTGGAGCGGCCGGAAATCCATGGTCGACTTTTGCTTTAGCGCAGTTCTATGCGCCGGAAGTGAAGTGTGTGTCAAGGGGCAACTGCTGGCTTGGAATAGCCGTCTTACGGGGCGCGGTGAACCCCTACTAGTCTGTCCAGTAAGTCCCACTTGGATTGGGCTTGATCAAGTCGCAGCGAAAGCGGGTATCCGCAATTAAAAGCAGAATAGTTGGAGAGGCGAAAACGAGAGTAAGAGGCTATCGGATGATTTGAGGTATCTTCCTTCACTGATGGGTTATGGTGAATTCTGGTGCTGAGAGCAGCGCAACGGATAAGGATAGGAGCTAATGTTGCGCTGATGAATAGAGATCCGCAGCGCAATAAAGCACAACCCCACCGGATAGCACTAAGCGGCTGCACAGTATCTCCGCAGTCTGTACTTGCAGCAATGGTATTAGACACAAGGTTGATGAGACGGACAGATGCCAATGTATACAGTTATTAGTCAGTATTTAAGTAGACCAAACTTACATTGAAGACTCGTTCTGGGTTCGAAAACAACCACCTGAATGGGGGTAAGAGAAGAAAATTGAAGATAATAACTAAGAATGGGGGGTGACCAACTCCGGTTCATCTCCGAAGGCTTCTCCGTGGTGCCTGAGTGCCTTACTGCCTCGGGCATCAAACGCGGCGCTGCCACTTTACGCGTGGCTCAGCCACAGGCGCGTCTTTTTGAGTTGCGTGGCTTGGCGCGGCCCCGGTAGGATCAAACTGGCACGGCTATCCTACTTTCACCAGGGCTTCTATCCTTGCTTGTGCTTGTCGACAGCTTCGGTCTGGGTCATGGACAGCGTGGTTTCTAGCTAGGCTGTATCGCGATGTTCCTTCTCTCTCTCTCATTCTTGTCCCCGTTCTTTTTGTCGTCCGATCTTGTGAAATATGGTGGAGATTCTCGGTCCTCTGTCTGCTCGTCCGCCTACTCCACCTAGGACATCATCTCGTATGCTGTCTGAAAATGATCGAACTGAAGATTCTCCGGTAGTTGTACACACACCTCGCGACTCTCCTTTTTCCGTCAATGGCTCAACTGGCGCTCCGTCAAGTCGACAATCCAAGCGCGTGAACTTCTCGCCATGGACAAGATACATCAAACCTCCTTCGTTTACCAATTCCGCCGCGAAGTCCAAATCTGACCTGAAGTCCCTGCCTCCCTCGAACGAATGCAAACCTACAAAGTCTATCCTCAAACCGACCACATCTCACTCTGCTGCCAATTCGCCGTCTGCTGAACCTCAAGCTCCCATTTCCTTCGCCATGCTTTTAGAGTCGATTCTACAACAGCTCGCTGGAGAGGCTGTTAGTTCAAGGCTGGACGCTTATATGCAGTTCTTCGGGGCCCTGAGAGCATATGACAATCTGCCTGGTGATCAAGAAATTATAGCGAGGTTGGGCTTGATCACTCAGTTCATACAACGGGACGTTAGCCGAGACTTGACAACCGGCGGACCGCTACATACCAACCTCGTGATCCAGGCTCTCAAGTTGGCTGTTGCTCTGGTATGGCATAGCGAGATCTCTGCGCGTCTGCCAGATGACTTCAAGACCTTTCTCGTCGATCACTCCGTCAACTGTCTTCAAGATGTGAAGATGCCAAAGTCTGTGGTAACTCACTACTTGTCCGTATTGTCAACCCAGAACTTCAACGCCAAGGTCATGACAAATACGCGAATATTACGCATTTTGACGGTTCTCCATGAATTGACTAATCGCGTCACTGGAAGCGCAATTGTGTCCCAGCGTTTAAGCATCTATCTGCGTGTTCTCAACCAATCCAAGATGATCTTTGTCTCAAATGCATCTCTGTGGATGGATCATCTCATTTCCGGCTTGCTACACCATGTCAAAGATATCAGAATCAAGGCTATCTCGGTGGGCTTTCAGACCGCTATAGCGTGTGGACCCAACCCAACCTTGTCCAAATGCGTCCGTGAGGTCTTCAGCAGGCCTCTCGATGAGCGCAGGAAGCTTGTGACGGAAGTTTGCGAGCGAATGACGCGCATGATGGCCCTTGCTGATTGCGGCGTCCACATACCTCAGATATGGAGTGTGATTATTCTACTTCTACGCAGCAAAAAGTTCAACGTCGATCAGTGGGAGCATTTCAAGGAATGGGTTCTTGTGCTACAGAGATGCTTCAATTGCAGCGATTCTGCGATCAAGGCGCAAGCTATTGTCGGTTGGAATCGGTTCGTCTATGTCGTCGGTCCCAGCGACACAACAAGCCCTTCGTTGTTACGGATGTTGAGCAAGCCCATCGTCTCTCAGTTTGATCGGAAGAAGCAAGACAAACAACCCAGTCAGCTAGCCTTGTGCAGTTATTATAATCTTCTCTATTACGCCTTTCGTCCCTCGGCATCTTTTCAGCATCTTGATGTCGTCTGGGAAGAATATGTCGTTTCACCGGCTTCGAGTATATTTTCGTCTGTGCCTAGCCTCAGCGACAGAGTGGCCCACGTGCTGTCCAATATGCTCTGGAGCCCGCAAGCGAAGGTGTGGTTAGAGAACAAGGTCAACGAGAGCAACAAGCTGGACCTTGAAGAGTTGCCGTCCATTGATAGTAGGTGGATTCGGTCGAGGATAACATCAGTCTTGAGCGTGTTTGAGGAAATCTTCAAGTCCTCCGTTTGGAACCCCGATATTGAACGATCGAATATTGCTACGGCATGGATTGGTTTGTCCAAGGCCTTGTCACATGCGTCGAGCAAGGAGATTACACCTACGCCAGAATCGATGCAAGCTGTAGCACACGTGCTTGGCCTCCTTCAGCGCCTCTGGAACGCTGGGCCCTCATCGCTCAATGCGGCTATCGAAAAGGATTCAGCGGATGCCTTCTATGACCGGTTTAGCTTTCTTTCCACCACCATGATCTACAGTCTTGGTAGTGCACGGTTTACCGAGAAACTACTCTTGAAGACAGCCGATGAGACTTTCCAGGCTGCTACAACGCCTACACATCGTCATCAAAAGGCGAATACGAGTCTAGACAGTCCCATCTTGCACTTCCTCCGATTTATCAGTGAGCTACCTGGCCATTCGGGGCCTTCCCCGTCATATACGCGCCTCGTTACCCGTGTTCTGGAAGCGACATGCAGCGACAAGCTATCAAGGAGCTCACGTCTAGAATTCCTTAGCCAGTGCGCTGATATACATGTATTCGACGCAGCTGCTCATGTTGGCGATGACAGACTAGCTGAAACCGTATGGAAGTCTGTGGCACAGCTGTCTGCAAGCTCTCTATCCTCTTTCCCAATGGAGACAGCTCGCGAACGTGACGGCTCAGTTTGTCGCGATTACGAAAACATCGTTAATATTCTGTCTGCCGGGCTAAAGTTTTCCGACGTGTTCGAAGTCTGGAATCCGCTTGTCGATTCTCTAATCCGCGTCGTGAGAACCGAAAAGGGCGATCGGGCAATTGCCACGATGGCTGTGGAGCCCCTCGCCGGTTCTATCATAGAACAAGGGACTCGGAATACCTGCACCCCCTCAGCGTCACTCCTGAGACTCTCGCTTTCAATTCCTTACTGTCACGAGGCGGAGACGGTAAAAGGAACCCATGAAACGACCTTCCCTCACAAGCTATTTGAACTGGTGGATAAAACACTTCGCCAATCTTACGAAAGCTTCGATCCTGTCGAACCGAACGGGATTGCCGATTTCATTGAGTGCCTGACGTCTCTATTGGGATCTGGTGTACCTACTTTCCGTACAGCAATGCTCACACACCTCCAGCAGTCCCTTGCGTTTTACCTCAAAGACGGGGAGCGCAAGATTAACGCTGAGAGTGGCGTGGAAAGCAGAATCCTTACTGCTGTAAGTGTGCGAAGCAAGGGGCTTATGCTACATACTAACTCAGAATTAGTGTCGCGCGCTGTCGTCGGCTGTCTTGAACATCTTGCAAGCAGCAGAACCTCACGACGCCTTTTTTGTACAAAAGTTCGAGCCTATAATCTGTTCGGGTCTTAAGTCCACACATGCCTCAGTAACAAAACGATTCCTTGATTTCTGGCGTTGTTCATTTGGATCACAAGAGTCCGTACCCTGCACCGAGACAATATCTCGCGCGCTACAGGATATTGAACTCCAGATGAAGCTTCAGCAGCCGCGAGGTCATTGTCAAATTTCACAGGTACGTGTTCCGATGTAAAGTTTATGCTTGCCCTTCTAAGACTTATTAGTTCGAGGCACAGGCCGGTCGTCAAGACGCACAAGATGCCAAGGTCATTCCAGTCGATACATCGGTCAAATCTCGCATTGCTTTCATTCTTGATGATCCATTCACATTGGGACTGAACTCGTCGCCCATAACGGGAGGGTCTGAGCGTAAAGCCATGCCCTCGTCTTCGGAGAAGCAGACCGGGCCTTCAGCAGTCCAAGTATCCCAAGCTGACGATGATTCTGATCCGGATATGGCCACGGATCATCCGATCCCCCTCCCAACGGGCTCTGGAGATCCTAGAAAACGTAGCGAGTTGTTTTCGATCATCGAGAGCCTGCGTTCGTCTTCACCTCCGACGAATACTCCAAGAGAACTCGGTTTCATGACGCCCCCGCACTTGCGCGACCTGCGCAACGCGGATGCCGACGCCGGTACTCCACAAACCCCTACCCTACCACCTGTCGCAACTGACAACGAGTACGGGTTTCTCGGTTCTTCCCCTACGCCGGGTACTCGAAGCCGAACGCAATTGAGCGAACCGGAGATACCTCAGTCGCTGTCTACTCCAGCAGCAGAAGATTCTGCCATAGAAAACGAACTTCAGTCCTCCCCTCCAAAGCCGAAATCGACCAGCCCCGATCCTCAAAGTAACACAGGAAACATGAACGCACCAGGATCAGCGAACACTACGTCGAGCAAGAACAGAAGATCGAAGAGGAGGGCCCGGCGCTCGTCGAGGCAGAAGAAAGCAATGAGTGCTCAGTCCAGGCAACCGGAGCCGACTGGTGAAAGCATGACGGTTGATTTAGAGGAGCCACTGATAAAGCGTCTCCGTTCGTCAACAGGCAAACTGCCAGAAGACAAAGATCGCTCCACTGAAGTCAACCAGCCGAAAGATTTGTCAAAGATTGGTCCTCATGACTCCGAAGATCCTCGAGGTCCTACAACTGATTCTGGTGCTACTGAGGAACCTATC